GTATTTATGGCTTATTTTTGTGCATTTAAAGTTCAACCGCCATTGATAGTTGTTAAAAGTTGTTAAACCTGTGCAGATAAAACAAAAAAACGCTTTTTGTTATCGATTTATTGTGAAATTACGGAAGCTGTGTTTGCTCCCTTTCCTGTTGGGCGGTTGTGATTTCTGTCCATTGACTGCGGAGGTGCTCCGGCGTCCGGCAAAAATAGAATCGATCCTATTTGTGCCGGATGGCGGAACGGCGGGCGGCGCACTGCGCCGCACGGCCACAGTAGTGGAACAGCTCTGATTGACTACAATGGGACCGTTTTTGCTGCGGAGTTCGTGCCGGAGCGGAGCGGAGGTAGTGGAATTTTGGGGTTACACTACTACAGTTACATGTTACACTACTGAAATTACATGTTACAATACTATAATTGCATGTTATAATACTAAAGGTATATGCCACAATACAAAAATTACATGCTATGTGCTGTAATACTAAAGTTACATGTTACAAGGAGACAGATCTAGAAAATGAAGATTTAAATTACCAGTAGAAGCATATAGGAGGTATGTCTCTTAAACAACATTGAATAGGATTTTGATTTATTCAAAGAGCAGGTCACCCCCTACCAGATTCTTACTCAACTCCCACTTCCTGTTTGAAAAATGCAACAAATGCTGTTGCCTAGTAGACCGAGAGGGCAGAGCCGCTAACAAATACACACGCTCACGACATTGTGACATCATAATGTACCATCTAACATCATAGTGTACCTCTTAGCCAATAGCGACTGCAGATTTAAATTCAGATGCAGTGCAGAGATTTTACCTGACGACGGTGCAACACTGACAGTTTTAGGCAGACTATTTAAATTTTAACTAAGATGCACTAAAGTACCGAATTATTGACTACACGTGTCTGCAGCACGAACAGACACTCATTTTTATAGTTTACCAGGAAAAAAAAATGTTGATTTGGAGTGACTTGCTCTTTAAATCTGAGTGTTTGAAACCTAACATAGCATGATGTTTTAAAAAATACATATTTAAATAAAAATCTATTATCTTTTTGTTCTGTATTTCAGATTCTTGAATCTTGTTATTACCAGACGAGTTGAAAGAGCAAGTCACCCCCTACCAGAATCTTACTCCGCTCTCATGTCATGTTTGAAAAATGCAACAAATGCTGTTGCCTAGCAGACCAAGAGGGCGGAGCCGCTAAGAAATACACACACATACAATGACATTGTGACATCATTTGGTACTAGCTAACATTCTAGGGTACCTCTTAGCCAGTAGCGATGGCAGATTTAAATTCAACTGCAGTGTAGAGTTTTTACCTGACAACGGCACAACACTGACAGTTTTAGGCAGAAAATTTTAATTAGAGCTAAAATGCACTAAAATGCAAAACTATTCACTACATGTGTCTGCAGCACTAATAGACACGCATTTATATAGGTTCATCAGAAAAAAAGGTTGATTTGGGGGTGACTTTAAAAGCAGCTTATTGGAAGCTAGCCAGTATTGAACACTATTAAAGTTGAGCTGAAGACACTTCTGAATTTCAGATATGCTGGGTTTTGTGCAATATAAGACAGTGTCATCAGCGTATAAATGAAGATATTTCGAGGAGCAGCACTGAGGCATATATTAATAAAAAGTTGAAAATAAGAGAGGTCCCAAGGAAGAACCTTGTGGAACACCTCTCGTAACTCCTCGTCGTCTCGACTGGCATTCGTTAAAAACCGTAGTTTGAGAACGGTTATGAAAAAAATAAGTAAACCAGAGTAAAGAGTTCCTAGAAAAGCCAAAAGAATAAAGTTAATCAAGAAGCAAATAATGATCAACCAAATCAAATGCTTTAGTTAAATCCAAAAAACAGCACCTGTAGCCAATACAAATACAAAAAGTACATGCTACAATGCTAAAGTGACATGCTACAACAATAAAGTTACATGCTACAATACTACAGATACTTCAGTTACATGTTACAATACTATAGTTACATGTTGTAATACTAAAGGTAAATGCTGCAATACAAAAATAATAGCCACAATGCAAAAATAACATGCTACAATACTAAAGTTACATGCTACAATACTAAAGTTATGTGCTGCAAAACTAAATTAACATGTTACAATAATAAAGTTACTGTACATGTTGCAATACTAAAGGTATATGTTACAATGCAAAAATAACATGCTACAATACTAAAGTTACATGCTACAATACTAAAGTTATGTGCTGCAAAACTAAATTAACATGTTACAATAATAAAGTTACTGTACATGTTGCAATACTAAAGGTATATGTTACAATACAAAAATAACATGCTACAATACAAAAATTACATGCTGCAATACAAAAGTTACATGTTACAATACTAAAGTTACGTGCTGTAATACTAAAGTACTTTTCTGCTGATCTTGATACTAAGCACTGAAGTAAGTATTCTAGGTTTATATTCCACAGAAAGAAATTCAATTGGAAAATTTTGGTGTTAGTTTGAACACAGAACAACATTTCTATAGGGAGCCTAAGTCACGCCCATCTACTGCGGGACCATGAGTTCCCGGAAGAACAAAAAAATGAATGCAAGTCAATAGGGCTAAAAATGCAATTTTCTAATTCCGCTTGTTTTGTGCTGTGGATTTCACGTATGATGTCCGTGAATTTTAAAGACACATTTTGATACCAAGAACGCGCTTATTTTCTAACAGGGGGAAACGTTATTTTAGGTTTTGTGTGAAAATAAATCCAGAACTACAAATGCGCGTCACGAAAGTGACGTAATTGAACCAGGCACGAAGGAAACTGAGAGAAAAGGGCTGTAAGTTCAGCAAACTTCCCACAGGAGGAAAGAACCACCATAAATCTCGCCATTTGATAAGTAGCAGCTACTTTGGGGAGAGGAGATTATGTGGTGATGTCACATTTGCGACTTGTCGGTTTCTGGTGTGTAGTCAAGCTAATTACGATGTTTTACAAGCTGATAAATTTCAAAGTACATGACTAGCGTGGTCGAAACACCCATCTTTACCGGTACTTTTCATTTAAATTGCAGTACAACAAATGTGCGACCCAGAGTCTAAGGCGAAGTGGGTTCGAAAATAGCGTTTTTAGCCCCGTTCAGTTGCATTCATTTTTTCGTTCTTCCGGGGACCCATGAGCCAACTGGAAAGGGAGGAGTCTTAGGCTCCCTACTGTGTTAAAAGTTCTTTTATCAAGAGAGGGTGAGCTCCTCCTCTAACTTTATTCCAATTTGATTCCATTGTCTTGTGATTGCTCAATACATTGCAGCCACACAATACACACACACACACACACACACACACACACACACACACACACACACACACACACACACACACACACACACACACACACACACACACACACACACACACACACACACACACACACACACACACTCCTATGCCAGGATAATAACGAACACTGCTTTATTTTCAACTGTGAAAAAAAAAGGTTTTCTTCACAACATATTTTCCCCTAAAGCTCTGCTGTTTGCTATTCAGAACGGATCCAAATCTGCTGTGAAGTGACCCCTGTGGTTAGGGAGAACTTTCTGATTATCACTAACACTTCTACACTCCCAATCCTGTGTGGGTCTTAGAGATTTAGCAGAAAACTTTCTGTTGCGTGTGCCTTTTAAGTCTTCTTTGTTTTACAGTATGCGAATGATTCAAATCTCCAGGCGAGGAAGAATGAATCAGTGTTTTGGTTGGAGAATAAAAACGTATAAAAACAGCTTTATTGTTGCCTTCTGTCTCTGTTTCTGCGGCAGATGCACTGAGATCTGCTGTAATGGTGTTTTCAACCAATGTTAACGATTTGTTTGCTTTGTTTGTGGAACCGAGCTAAATGAGCCAAATGAGCACTAACGCTAAACCTTATGCTGAAGAGGTTTTCTGTTCTAAATCTCAAAAACTGTTTAGAAATTCAAAAGCCATTTAGACTATTTTCACAGGTTTCTTCTTATAAAGCCTCAGTTTGTAGAAGTAGCACTTACATCCATCAGGACTGATGAGCTATCTGCTAGTCTGAACACAACCTATACCAAAGAATAACACCTTTTCAAAACTGAATCAAAAGGGGTTATTATATTAGGGATGTGCCGATAGTTTGGGTCATACCAAAGACTTTAAAAATGGAATCCAATGCCTCCCTGCTTGACATTCAGCTTTAAGGAGTTGGATTAGGGGTTAAACCACCAAATTGTTCCCGAGCCCGGCCACAGCTGCTGCTCACTGCTCCCCATGGGGATGGGTCAAGTGCGGGGATGAAGTTCACCTGTGTGTGATGACGACTAATGGAACTTTATCTTAAACTTTAATTTAACTGAAGCACAGCTGTAATGTGGCTCACTTCTAGTTCATGAAAATGGTGCACAAGAGTAAGACTTACAGGAAACTCATTCCTACTAGAGATCACTGAAACTGTATTGAATAAATGAGTGAACTACACCTTTAAGTTAACTGAGGCTGTTCAGGGAGCTACCTACAACTGGCCTTATAAAAATGAAATTCCACAGAAAAAAACACTTCAAAGGGACCAAAATAACCCTTTAAATAGTTCCTGTATTTGTTTTTAACAATACAAATGAAAAAAGGGTTGCCTTTAAACAAGAAAATAGATTTTTACCACTGCTAACTCAAAATTTAATTTACTTTGGGATTAAATGAGAACATGTTTCTTTCTCTCAAAATATTTGATGTTTATGGGAACACTAGGATAAAATGGCTTGAGTTATTTATTTTTAAATAATCTAATTTCAGAAACCTTCTGTAATAATAAAACACTGCTAAAGCCATTAGGAAGCATGGCTCATAGCAGCTAAAGGATCTGTCCTGTTCCTATTAAGTTTATTAGTTTAGCTAATCAACACAGTTTTACTAGTTCATGCATTTTGTGTGGACCCAGGTTTAATCTGGATTTCTGTTCTATTGAAATTGTGTGAAGTTAATTGTGCATCTGTCCTCCTGTCCCTCCAGGTGAGTAGGATACTGTACAGCTTTGCTACCGCGTTCCGGCGGTCAGCTAAGAAGGCGCTTCTGTCGTCTCAGCAGAATGCTCCGCTGACCCCTGACAGCGACTTGTTTACCTTCACCGTCAGCCTGGAGATCAGGGAGGATGACGGCAAGGGTACTTTCAGGTAAATTAACCATCAAACATATGTTTTGTATTTGTAAGCACAATGATCACCTGCGCGGAGGAAATCCTGCATCCTGTCTTACATCTTAAAAGAAGCTTTTTTACTTGGGTTTTAAAAGACACGGTGTCAGGAGACTCCGGTGGCTTCGGCAGCTGTCATTTTTAAAGAAGTAATTCTGAAACACTTAAAAATAAACGCACAAACATGAAAATCTCCTTGCTCCCCCTAACCCACAGAGCTTGGGAAGTAAATTGAATAGTCGTTGAGAGAAATGAGAAACACACTCAGATTCCCGCATTTATTAGTGTTGCAGATAAGGAAGAACAACAGCAGCTTCCTGAGTTTGCTTCCTTCAACACATCTTTCTTGAACTTTTCTTTTTGACTTTGTTTTCCCATAAAACTGAGTCACTTCCATGTGTTCACCGAAACAAAACAAACACAAATAGGCCTAATTATTTTTAGCTCACTCACGTATCCTCCTCATTAGCTTCTGCATGGATTATTTTTAGTGTTCTAAACAGAAAGATTCCACGTGCACATCACCACATTTTGTGTATTATTAGCACTTCCTGGTTGACGCGATGCAGAAAGTTGAAGCTATGTGGAGAAATACCATGAAATTATTCGTTAAAAAGAATAAAACACCAATAAATCTATCACAGGACATATTTCTGAAACAAAACGGTGACCCAGTTTGAGTCCATGTGGTATATAAGCCTCTGTTTAATAAAGGAGGTATAAGGAAATTCCCTGAAGTATCACATATTTGCCTTAGATTTCCAGGTGACTAATGTTCCTTTACCAGATCCTACATGGCTTATGATTCTTTTTGGGGAGGATGGTGGGGGGTGTTTCCTCAGAGATGTTTGTAGGTGGGAGCTTGGAGAGCGTCGATTACAGTTTCTGTCGAAAACCCGGTCCTGGTCTTAAAACTGAACAGGAAAAGCTCCAGAGGAGGACAATAATTTTAATAAATGACTCTATACTAAACTTAAACTGTTCTAATAATTATTTTTATTACAGTTAGACCAGCTCCTTATTAAATAAGTTAAACATTTCACAGAAAAGGTGTTAAAGTTGAATCAATACCCTCTTTCTGTTGTCTGCTGTTTGTCATTGTGGAGTTTAAAATGTGTTGTTTCAGGTGTCAGTGACTCTGCTTTGAGAGTCTGCTAAACAGTTCATTTAATTCACATTTAATTTTGTTTTTCATATTCAGTGCTGTAGCAAAAGACAAGGACAAACAGAGCTTCAAGCTTCGTGCAGGACTGGATAAGAAAATCGTCATTTACGTTCAGCAGACATCCAATAAGGAACTGGCGATCGAGAGGTAAAAAACACACCAAGATCCATGCAAATATTATATATATTCAGTATATGTAATAATCACTTTTGAAGGGATAAAAAAGCCCTTTTATTTAATGTACCGTATTTTCCGGAGTATAAGTTGCACCAGCCATAAAATGTATAATGAAGAAGAAAAAAAAACATATATAAGTTGCACTGGACTATGAGTCGCATTTTGGGGGGAAATTTTATTATTTTTCTTACAAAATCTGAGACCAAGCATTTCACTTTGCAAGACAAGTACCGGTAACAATAACAGAACAAACAACCAGCTGTTGCATCAGCGGAATACGCAGCAGCACGGCGCAGGCTGCAGCAGATGATGGAGTGTTTAAAACCATCCCAGCGGGACAGGGGAGCTCATTCCTGGACCGAAGCCGGCTTGCAGCAGAGCGCAGCAGTCTCCAGCAGGTGATGGTGGGGCAGGGGAGCTCATTCCTGGGCCAGAGTCGGCTGGTAACAGCATGGTATACATAATTTGGTATATAAGTCGCAGGACCAGCCAGACTATGAAAAAAGTCCAGAAAATATGGCCAACTTATAAGAAAATGTATTGTTCTTCAATTATTCATACAAGAAAAGCATCTCTGAACACCATAGAAGCCTGTGGAAACGACCTGAAGAGGCTTTTCTCATCTGTCAGATTGAAGGATATTTCTATATTTGCCGCAGTTGTTGCACTTTATCACTTTAACTCTTGAGCAGATATTGTTCAGAGATGAGTCCCTCGTTGTAAATGGATTCAAACACAGCTGAACATCTTTACGTCCGTGGTTTGGCCTCTAAGGGTTCTGGGACAGTTTTATGGCTGTGATTAAGGTGATTCTGTCTCAGAAGGTCTCTGTTCTCAGCACACTTCCACCTTCTCCTTGGGTTGTTATTGTTCCGTGATCACAGAAAAGGTGAGGAGTGAAAAAATGTGTTTAGTATTCTGCATGCTCTGGACTGTGTTAGACCGTCAGTTCAGGGAAGCATTTCCTGTAATTTATGTGAGGTTTCAAACCTTGTCCTTTATAGAGAAAGAGTTATTGTTCACTTTCTGGTTTTTCCTCCTGCTCAGTTTTTCCCTTCTTCTCCCTCCCCTTATGTAATCTCAATCATGTCACATTTCTTCCTCGCTCGCATCCACACGTGCCGTTTATCTTCTCCAGGTGTTTTGGACTCCTGCTTAGCCCGGGAAGAAATGTGAAGAACAGCGACATGCACCTGCTGGACCTGGTAGGGGGATTGTTATATATACTGTGTGTGTGTGTGTGTGTGTGTGTGTGTGTGTGTGTGTGTGTGTGTGTGTGTGTGTAAAAAATCTTGTATTTTGGTGTATTTGCCAACTTTCTCCTTATGCCCTTTCAGGAGTCAATGGGAAAGAGCTCAGATGGGAAGTCTTACATCATCACAGGAAGTTGGAACCCCAACACGCCTCAGTTCCAGGCTGTGAACGAGGAAACGCCCAAAGGTAAGAGCCAGAAATGCGTCCAAGCTTTAGATAAGGCAGAATTGTTCTCTGTGGTTTATGTTTACTGGCTGCTTGGTTGCTGAGTCATATATTCACACCAGTATTCCTCATAAATGTTTTAGTCTGCAGTATGTAGGTTGATATGTAAGCAAAAAGCCACATTGTTAAATTATGGCCACAATGAGTAAAGGATGGTGTTTATGGGTTACTGGGGCTGATATTTGATCTGTTTTCTGGCATTTCAGATAAGTTCATGTACATGACGACGGCGGTGGATCTGGTAATCACAGAGGTGGAGGAACCGGTCCGTTTCCTGCTGGACACGAGGGTCAGAGTCTGTTCTCCCAACGACAGACTATTCTGGCCCTTCAGCAAGCGTAGCTACACTGAGACCTTCTACCTTAAACTGCGACAGGTTTGTAGCTCCTTCCTGCAAAAGGGAGATTTGGATTTTTTTCTCCTACAAATGTTTTCACTGAATAGTAATAGTCTGCAATAGTAATAGTTGTAAAGTCAAATCTTAAAAACTTAATTTTGGGCCAAATATCATTTCAGAACAGAGTTAAATCTGTTCATGCTGAATAGATTATTATAGGATATTAAAGTATTTACATCTGAGCTGACTCTTATGTAAATCACGCCTTTCTATAATGGTTAAAAACCCGCTCCATGTCACATCCTGAAGGCGTAATGCAGAAAAATGCAATATTATCTTTGTCACTTCACTTCCTCAGTAGCTTTTCAGGCATAGTTTCTTCTCAGATGGAGCGAAAAGAAAGAAAGAGTCCTGCTTCTGACACTCTATACGAGGTCGTGAGTTTGGAAAGTGAGTCAGAGAGAGAAAAACGAAAAACCACAGCGAGTCCACACATCATCCCCACTGGTACCATGGCTCCTTCACCTCCTGAGGACGACGAAGAGGAAGGTGATTGGACAATGCTTTCTACTACAATCATCAGGAGAATAGAACAAAAACTGTAAATTAAAATTATGATCTTATTGAAGAAAAGTTTTATGTGGGAATTTATGAATGGAAGCAAAAGAGGCTGAAGAAATTTTTTTTTGTGTGAAAATAGATCAGGAATATCTTTGCTATAGCAATCAGACAGAGAAGCAACAGATATAAAGGAAGCATTTTTTTTTACTTGAACAAAACATGTTTGAATATGTTGAGGCAGTAATTATTTGTATTAAAGTGACAATGTGTAGTTTTACCATTAATCTCTGGAAATATCCATTGAAATGTTGTTGAAAATGTGTAAGGTGATGTCCAATTTTAGAAAAATATTGGCAGCTTTGTAACATATTTGGAGGACGCCCTATTAGACTCCATGCTTCCTTCTACATGAGCCGACTCAGGGTCCTGCGCCTGCCGATAACGTCACACTAGATGAATGGCGGGACGTACGACTTATGGAAGTTACGTTCATAAAAGTTAGGTTGACACTTAAAATTTTGATTGGTCCGGACGAATTTGCAACAGTGTTTGTAGTCCTGTAGTAAAAAAATTAAACAAAAAAAAATTGCCAAAGGAAATGTGAAACCCGAAGCAGCTCTGATTTTGATGAAATGGGGCAACATTTAAAATAACTTTATTGAACAAATAACAAGTATACAACATTTTGAATGAATTAATATATTTATTTACATAATAACAACAAAGAACAAAATATACAGAATTTCACATTTATATAAACGAACAGTGCTGCTAATTATGTAAAAACTTCACAAATAAAAACTGTTGTGCTTTCTGGCACAGTCTGATGTTGGTTTTATGTAGTTTCACATTCTTCAAAAGCGAAGATGTTTTATTAACAAATAACAAAACATTTAGGCAATAAGAAGCATGAATTTAATAACAAAACTAAAACGCTTTCCAAAACCGATGTGGAGAACAGTATTGAAAAACAGTTGCAATGTGTTTTGGCCGAGCGGTATTGCCGTAGTATGATGACGTCATTGGCAGGAGCAGGACCCCGAGCAGTTCCACAACCTACAGCACCAGAAAACTAGCATCAGCATTGCATTTTCTCGATGGATTTAAATGAAGGACCATCAGACTCTGAGGAGGCATGCTGAGGTCGCATGCTTTCTGTTCCACAGGTAACAACTTTTACCGTAATGTTTAAACTAGAGAAGGTCACAACGATATAGTGTAAAACTACCCTGAAATGTATGTACTGCACCCTAGTACCGGGAAACTACACACTGCCACTTTAAGGGGATGGATTTTTGTTGCAAAGAGCAAAAGCTGTGGTGTTCTTGGTTCAACAGCTTTATCTTTTTCTCCCATCACCACTAGGAAATATATCCCGTCTGCTGCCGATAATCTAGCCCGACCTCATTAAGAGTTCATTGTCATCCTGTCACTTTTATAAATAACCTCTGGGGGGAAAAAAAACGTTTTGGGCCTGGCAGGACATTACAAGTTATGGAATACCTTTTGCCATTTAAAGTTGGACACTATCCAGCACACATAAATGAAAGTGGTGCTCCTGAGCAGACTGAAATGACAAAAGTTTTATCGTCAGACAGCCCAATCCCTGCTGTGCTGCATGCAGATATTCCCTCTGTCTGATTTATAAAAGCTAATCCTGTCCTGTGGAGCAGCACCACATTTAGACATTGGGTCTACTGCAGCTGAAATGCAAAAGATCAGCCTGTTACAGAACTGCTTGTACCATATCGTCCTAAGGTGCATAACCATTATTGGTGTGTTTAGAGGTGACAAAGAGCATAGGGAGCATCATTTATTTTGGATTTGGTGTCCAATAATGGCTTCATGATAGCTGTTGGGAATACTTAGACATATTTATCAACTCTGTAAAGCTAATATGTATAAATGTTGGTGTTTTTAAGAAAAAAAAATAACTGTCTCCATTGCTTTGTGCTCAGATAATGACGAGCCCTTACTCAGTGGGTCAGGGGACGTTTCAAAGGAGTGTGCAGAGAAGATCCTGGAAACCTGGGGCGACTTATTGTCCAAGTGGTATGGATTTGCTCTCTCGTTAGCTTTGTGTTCGCTCTTTTTGTTGTTCTGGTGAATGCACACAGACCTGATTCAGCCTGGGTGGAAAAGAGCAGCTTGCAAACAGCCATAGCTGACTTATTACGTCTTGTTAAGATAGATTCTTTCTCTAGTTGATGTGATCAAAGCCTACTGGTTGTGCAGCGCACCAGGCTAAAGACCAAAGGTGACAGATCATTTGCTGCTGTGGCCCTCAGACAATGGAACTCTCTCTCCCTGAGCCTGAGATCAGTGGACTCCTTTAAAAATCAGCTGAAAACTCTCTTGTTCAGGCTGGTTTTAGGTGTGACCTTCATCACCCTCTCCTTGTTCTGCTCTCCCCACCTATTCCACCTTCCTCAGGATCCACTGATTTCCCTCTTTCCTATTCACTCGCTCTCTTTCTTTACATTTTTTTAATCACAATTGTCTATTTTTTGCTCATTTTAAATATATTTTTAATGATTTTTTAAAATTCTTTTTCATATTTTTTAATTTTTTGTTGTTGTGAAGTGCCTCATGATTTTTATCTTGAGAGGCGCTATGGAAATGATCTTTTCTTCTTCTTCTTCTTCTTCTTCTTCTAGTTACTTAAGTTTTAATCCAAAGCTTGTGATCAACTAAATAAAAAGCCCCAGCTGTAATTAGCCATTGGCTCTTTTCATATTTAGTATATTTTTAGAAGCAGGAATAAACAAATGACCGATTTATTTAAAAAACATTATCAAAATCTATTAGAATAATTCTTTTTCCTGATTATTTGGCAGGCTGGTGGACTGTAGATGATACTGTTTGGTTGGTGTTTATCTCTTCCCTGAAAGAAATATTGCCTAAATAAAAAGGAAATCATAAGACTAAGCCATTAAAACAATAGGCCTCTGTGTTAGATTGGTGATATTTTTTTGAATTTGAATGGGAGTGTGTGTTGTGGCATTGTGGGACCTTAGAGATTCAAATCACAGAAAGACCTTCAGAGTGTTATGCCCTGAGGACTAAGCCTGGTTCTAATTTTATCACATGCAAACACAAACGCACATTTAAAATAAATAAAAAAAAACTTCACAAATTGCATAACATGACACTGGAAATGAAACAAATCCATTAAATTGAGATGGGTGAATTAAGAATGGGGGATAAAATGTAGAAAACCTTTGAGGATTTGGGAATTACCCGGAGGTTTCAGTCAGGCAAGAGGACGTAAGAAAAATGTAGTACCGGTATTTGAAACTTTTACTGTGCTGTCAAACCACAAGGCTGCTGCTTCTAGCATGTAGGAATAAGATTTCATCTATAGATCAAGGAATTAAGAATGGAAAACATCAATTTTTTAAATGACTTTTCTTACAGGTTTTCTATTTATAAGCTTTGGTATATTTATGCCAACACGATAAATCAAAGATGGCTGTAAACAAAAGCACGGCTAAAGTGACTTGTCATGATCTACATCAACACAATAGGAAGTATTTTACATTCTGAAAACCAACGTTTCATTTCTTGACTGGATTTCCTTGAGGGAAAACGTGGAAGATCTTATCATTTAGTCAATAAATTAGTTTTTTAGGTTGCATAAGTCCTGATCATCTCATGATGCTCATAAACCACCATTGTCAGGGTCAGATCAGATGTTTTATGGCATTTCATAAAAATACTCCCTACTTCATCAAACCATCAGTATGGCTTTTGATCACAATGGTGTTTAGTCAGACTGAGATCATGAGATAAGACAGAAACCTGCATTTATCAAACTGTTCATAAAGAAGGACACTGACCCCATTATGCTGCTCTAATGGGTCAAAGTGAGTATACGTACTTAACCAGGATTTGGTGGTTTCATTTGTCTTTTTCAGGCACATGAATCTGTCGGTGCGTCCGAAGCAGCTGCCGGCGTTGGTGCGCAGTGGCATCCCTGAGGCTCTCCGTGGAGAGGTGTGGCAGCTCCTGGCAGGCTGCCACAACAATGACCACCAGGTGGAAGAATACCGAACACTGATCACCAAGGTAAGACCACACGGAAACATCCACAGTAATTAGTTTAGCTCTAACATGGTTGTGTTACTGTGGACAAAACACTGTGGACATTTGTCTTTTAGATGCCTACACATGAACATGAAACTTGTCGCACTTTGGCAAAAATCGCTGTGTTTGAATCCAAATATGGCATCTTCTGTCTGGTTTTTGTTACTCCCTATGAGAATCAGTCAGAGAATGGATTGGTACTTATCTTGTTCACAAACTATCTTAGTTCACTGCTGCTTCATCATCTTGCTGCGGTTTTGAGCTTAAAGTTTGTCAAATCAAACAATATCACCACTAAGTAACACCATTTTCTGCAGATTTACCTCTTTTCAGGCTGTACAGATGTTTTGCGGAGACTCGTGGTTTTTGAATGAAGTTTGGAATTTAACATAAACATCGACAGAATTTTACTCCGTTAAAATCTAATATTAGCAACTTTTTGCATACTTTTTTCTGGTAAGAAATGGTCACCAGCATGCAGCCTTACTCATTGAGCAGTAGCTCAACAGGTTGAGCGGGTTGTCCAGTAATCGGAAGGTTGCAGGTTCGATCCTGGCTCTGGACAGAGAATTCTGCTGTTGTTTTCTTGGGCAAGACACTTAACCCACCTGGTAGTGGTCGGAGGGACGCCTGTGCTCGGCAGCATCGCCTCTGTCAGTGCGCCCCAGGACAGCTGTGGCTACATCGTAGCTCATCACCATCAGTGTGTGAATGGATTAATGATACACTGTAGTGCAAAGCGCTGTGGAATCCTTACTCTGAGAGGCGCTATACAAGTGCGGATCATTGATCATTTAACATAACTGAAGGAGATTCAACATGTATTCTGGCCTCATGTCATTGAGTGATTTATAAACTAGTAGAAGTACTTTGAAATTGATTCTGTAGTTTACTGGTAATCAGTGTAGAGATTTAAGAACAGGAGTGATGTGTTCGGTTCTCTTGGTTCTTGTTAAGACTCTAGCAGCAGCATTCTGAATTAGCTGCAGTTGTTTTACTGCATTTTTGGGAAGACCAGACAAAAGACCATTGCAAAAATCCAGCCTGTTGTAGATGAATGCATGAGTGAGTTTCTCTAGGTGTTGTCTGGAAATGAGACCCCTGAGTCATGCTATTTGATGAAGATGATAAAGCGCTGATCTAGTTATAGCCTTAATGTGACCAGTGAAGCTCAGGTCTGAAGCAATTATGACACCAAGATTTCAACAGAATCATAAATAATTCCCGAAAAGGGGAAAACTCCTGCTTTTAGCTTTAACCAGTTACTGAGAATTTATTATTTTTTCTTCTAACTGAAAGTGATTCATTTATTTTTAACGTGTTTGTACGTGTGAGGGTGGTACTGTCACTGGTTTTCTGGAATTTTGTTAGACTTTTTTTAGATGTTTAGCTCAGGGGCCACCAGTGGAGATGTTTTACATGTGCTTTGAACTTGTGACGGTCACCACTGCTGCCCTGCAGATTAAACCTGCTGATTCATCTTTTTTGGGTTTCTTTTTCCTGAAGAACAAACAACAACAACAACAACAAAAACACTACTTTTTGACTCCTGTAACAGTTCCTATTTCACTTTTGTTTTTGTAACTAAATTGTGTTCAGCTCTGACTACCATTAATCTTGTAAAAAAGGGAAACTTTAATTTACGAGGTTAACTGTGTGAGTTTGCTGTAACTATCAGAAAAGGAACAGGATTTAGAAATGACATGTTGCTGTGCCATTTCAGTCAGAAAATTTACTCAAATCCTGGTGGATAAGCTCTCAGTTTTAGTTTTTTGGCCACATCTCTTTCTGTTTTTTTTTGTATCTAAAGGCTACCAGCAGCAAGCCCAGTCCCAGGTGGTGAAAAGATGTCGGCTTTTTAGTTTTCACCTTAAATCTTTCTTTTTTGACACATTTTTACTTCCCATATTTCTCTCTTGGTCTATCTCTATCACTGTTGTACATTCTCACCTTTACAGTAACTCCCTGCTCAGAACCGATCAAAAGTGAGGTTTTACATTAAAAATCACAAAAAGTCTACCATATTTTCCGGACTATAAGTGACACTTTTTTTCATAGTCTGGCTGGTCCTGCGAATTATATACCAAAGTGACTTATGTACCAAATTATGTATACTGCGCTGCTGCGGGCTGGCTCCGGCCCAGAAATGAGCTCCCCTGCCCCGCCATCACCTGCTGCAGCCTGTGGTGGGGTGCTGTGGGCACTCTCCCCACCCGCTGGAAGGGTTTGAAACACCGCCATCCTCTGCTGGAGACCATGGCGCGCTGCTGCATCCTAATTGTTTATTCTGTTATTGTTACCGGTACTTGTCTTGCAATGTCAAATGCTTGGTCTCAGATTTTGTAAGAAAAATAATAAAATTTCCCCCCAAAATGCGACTTATAGTCCAGTGCGACTTATATATGTTTTTTTCTTCTTCATTATACATTTTATGGCTGGTGCAACTTATACTCCGGAAAATACGGCACTTACTTTTTTCTGTTGGCATGAATAGAATGAACAGAATCTCAGCTTTTCCTCCGACAAAAATAACTGAATTGCAAAGCTGTTAGAGAAATTTGGACAGGAAGTTATTGCAGAAGCATAGAAGCATTCCATATTTGTACATCAGTCAACAAGCTCACAAAGTCAAATATGGAGAACATCTGCTGCTGCAGATCTCTGAAGATGGTGTCGCTGTGTAAGGCTGCTCGTCTGATGCTGACTGCCTTTTGTGTTTCTGTGACCTTTCTTGTCCTTATCAATCAGAATGTGAATGTGCTGCTGGTGTATGATCGGCAAACTTTATTGGAGCTTCGATTCAGTTTTACTGTTGGGATTTTTCTCGGTCATGAAGACCGTAAAACCTTACCTCCACCACTGCTGGAGATTCTTGAGGTCCTGCATTGAGGTCCCGTTGCGCCTCCGGGGAAAAAGAAACGTTTTAGCCGCCGTGGTAAACGCAGCAGTAGGCTGGTAAAGCTAAAGGCCTGCATGGCACTGTCTGCTGGGACATCTCGGTGTCTACATGGAGGAACACACCATATTTTTTTTTCTCGGAGGCGGTGCTTCATTCCCGTTTATACCTGGCTGACACCTGTCACTGGCACGGAGACGCTGTCCCAGCTGCCACACCCCCGCTGTCAACGCTCCCTTCCTCCTCAGCTGTGGGGTGAACCTGGACAATCTACGGCCTCTCTCCCGTCATCCCAGAATGTCTGACACCCCAGTCCCCTGTGTCCTGTCAGGATTGGCCTGGTGAATGCAAGGTCACTTGTGAACAAAAGTTTTATTCTGAGGGATTTCTTCAGTTCCAACGGACTTGGCCTCCTCTGCATCACAGAGTCCTGGGTGAAAACTGGCGACGTCGGCGTCTTTTCTGAACTCACCGCTTGGTTGTGGATATTTTAATTCTCTGCGGACATCAGGTCGAGGAGGAGGAATGGCTACAATTTTCCAAACAACATCCAACTGTAACCAAGTCTCCTCTTCGCTTTGAGCGGAGCATGTTTGAACTGGGCTGCTCTCACCCAGTGTTGTGTGAACTAATTTATCGGCCACCTAAATATAATGATTTTTTAAATGACTTTTCTGAATTTCTGGCTGAAATCATTCCCAAATATGACAGAGTCCTGATTGTTGGGGATTTTAATGTGCACGTATGCTGTCCTGACAACCCAATGGTTAAGGATTTTTTAAACATAATTGACTCTTTTAACTTTACACAGTGGGTGTCTGAACCTACTCAAGTATGTGGACACACTTTAGACCTGGTTTTATCTCTTGGTTTGTCTGTTTCCAACATGATGACTGGTGATGCTGTGTTTTCAGACCATAAACCTGTGTTGTTTGACATCGCTCTGCCCTGAAGCATCCCAAAACCCTGTGCTCCTGCGCGGCGGTGCTGTATTATTAACCCTTCCACTGCTGCACGTATTTTTAGCTCATTTTACACAAACCACCTTCTCTCCTGACCTCTTATCCGGCACAGAAGAAGTCAGTTCCTGGTTCCATTCCACCTGTCAGTCTGTGCTGGATATTGTGGCTCCTTTGAAAACCAGACAGGAGAAAACAAAAACTGAACCCTGGTTAAATGATACTACTGGAGCTGTCAGGCGGGAGTGCAGAGAACGCAGATAGAAATCGGACAAGCTGCAGGTCTAATTTCAGATGTTAAAGGACTGCTGGTTTCGCTATCAGGCAGCAGTTAAAAATGCCAAAAGGAAATTATTTTCCTATATAATTCTGTCCAATCTTCACAAGCCTCATGTTTTATTCCACACTGTTGAGACCATGCTGACTGCTGCACAGAGTGATGGTTTAGAACCTTCTTCAGAAGCTTGTGGAAAATGTTTAAATTTCTTTGTGGATAAAGTGAATAATATCAGGGCACTCGTATCACCTCCTGCTGTTGATCCTTCAGCCTCACGCCGGGGACACACCGGCTGCCGAAGCTCTGCAAAGCACCGGGAGGCGAAGCGCTCACGGAATTTGGCTGCTGCTCGCTGCGCCTCAGTTCAGACCAGACGCTTGTCTCTCCGCTCCGGTCGAGGCGCACCTCAGCTCAGCTTTAGTTTTTCTTTTTACCACTTGGTGTCCTCCATTTCCTCTCTTGCCTTTTCTCTGCTCTTTTCCTCTACACCCCCCTCCCCCTTGCTGTTTGTGTGTGTTTGTCCGTGTGTGTGCGAACCTATTGTGTGAACCAGTTGTTAATAGCGGGCCTACGACTTTCTGCTTCTCTGGCCTGTTTGCTCCGGTTGAAAGACACCCAAAACCACACACACACACAAGTTCGCTGTGTGTGTGTGTGTTTGTCTGTTTATGAACATATTTGACTATTGCGGAATTGTATTTTGAAATGCTTTATTTTGTTAAATTTACCAGCCTGACTCTTATGTCTAGGTTTGACTTCCTGCCAGAATTGACGCGGTTCACCGAAACGATTGCTGCACTACGCGGGCTGGAGCGCCGGCGGCGCGCTGCACTTCGGCTGCCCATGTGGCCTATAGAATAGGATAACAAGGGCGCCGAATGAAGGTGGTCCCCGTTTCGCGGCGCTTCGGCGGCCGTTGTGTCCCCGGCTCGACTTCAGGTGTGGTTCCTAGAACTCTTAAACATGCAATAGTGCAGCCCCGATCAAAAGGCCTGGTTTGGATCCCACTGTGCTCTCAAATTTTAGGCCCATTTCCAAGCTTCCATTTTTATCTAAATCCTTGTGAAAGTTATTAACAGCCAAGTAAAATCTTTTTTAGATGATAACAATGTTTTGGAGATTTTTCAGTCAGGTTTTAATTCTCTTCACAGCACGGAATCCGCTCTGTTGAGAGATTTTAACGGCGTCCTCCTTGCCACAGATTCGGGAGATTCTGTGATTTTAGTTCTCTTAGACTTGACTGCTGCTTTCGACACAGTGGACCATAATATTTTAATGTCACGCTTGGAGCAATGTTTTGGGATTCGTGGCACTGCCCTGAAGTGGTTCAGACGCGCTGGTGGTGTTGAACCATCTGACTGACCTGGGGTTCAAAATAAATTGGACAAAGAGCAGTTTATTCCCCAGACAGTGCACAGAATATCTGGGTCTTCAGATAAACTCTCTCTCTTATCTTGTCTCGCTTTCAGAAGAGAGGATGGCGTTCTTCACACAGTGTGTCGCACGTTTTCAGCTAGGAAACCGTGCCTCGTACAGACTGCCTGCGCGTTCTCGGCCTCATGGCGTCAATGATTTCTGTGGTGCAACTGGGGCTTCTTATGATGAGAGATGTCCAGTGGTGGGTGAGGTCGTTAAGACTGTGCTCCCGCCATCATCTCCACCGCAGAGTGAAAATAACTCCCGCGTGTATGTCGGCTCTCCAGCCTTGGAGAGACCGAACAGTTTTCACAACTGGGGTTCCGCTAGGGGCAGTGGTGTCCAGAGTTATTGTGACGACCCTCACAGGTTAGGGGGCCGCTTTGGTGGGGAGAGCAGTGAACGGCGTTTGGTCACGCAGTTTAAAACGGGTTCACATAAATGTGCTGGAACTCCTAGCAGTGTTTCTTGCTTTAAAGCACTTCCTGCCCTACTTAAGGGAACATCATGTCTCAGTGAAGACAGACAACACCACAGTGGTAGCTTATATCAACCGTCAGGGCTGGGTACGCTCCCTACAGCTGCACTCACTAGCCAGGGAAATAATTGTGTGGTGCAGCTCCAGACTCCTCTCAGTCTGTGCAACACATGTGGCGGGCAGCTTGAACAGAGGGGCAGACCTTCTGTCCAGAGGAAATCCTCTTTACGGATAATGGAAACTCCACCTCCAGGGGGTGCACCAAATATGACAGAGATTTGGTCAGACTACCGTAGATCTCTTCACCTCATGGGAAAGTGCCCCCTGCCCACTCTTCTTCTCCCGGTCAGACGCAGATACACCTCCTGAAGTCGACAGATTGGCTCACCAGTGGCCGAGAGTGCTGCTGTACGTGTTTCCTCCTCTCAGTCTGATTTCCTCCATTCTAATGAGTAAGGGAGCATGGCCTGTCTTTGATCTTGGTGGCTCCGTTGCGGCCATCCAAGCCGTGGGCGGCAGAAATAATCCAAATGCATTGGGACAAACTCTGGCCCCTGCCTGTCTGCAGGGATCGTCTGTCCCAGGCCAGGGGGAGATGTATCACCCTCACCCAGACCGCTTGACTCTGTGGGCCTGGCCCATGAGAGGTGGAATCTGAGTGTGGCAGGCCTGCCCCCAAGCGTCATTAACACCATTCAAAACGCTAGGGCTCCCTCAACTCGATCTCTTTACAGCTGTAAATGGAGAGTTTTGAGGTGTGGTGTGAAGAAAAACATATTATCCTGTTTCAGTGTTCGGTGTTTTTTGCAGAGTCTGATTGACAAGGGTAAAGCTTTCTCCACTATTAAGGTTTATCAGGCTGCAATTTCCGCATGCCATGTGGGGTTTGGTGACAAACCAGTGGGGCAACACCCGTTAGTGAGTCGCTTCATGAAGGGTGCTCATCGTAAGCTACCAGTCTTTAGGCCACTGGTACCACTGTGGGACCTCTCTCTTGTTATGGAGGCCCTCTGTCATCCTTTTGAACCTGTAGATGGGGCTAGGTTGAAATGTCTCTCTTTAAAAAACTGCCCTACTCTTAGCTTTAACTACAGCAAAGAGAGTGAGTGACCTTCAGGCATGGTCAGTCAGTCCCTCTTGTTTACAGTGGGCCACTGGCTACACTAAGGTGTGTTTGCGACCCAATCCAGCTTTTGTGCCTTAAGTAATGGAATCGTCTTGTAGCTGCTCCCCTGTGGAGCTGCTGGCTTTTCATCCACCTCCTTTTTCCTCAGCAGAAGAGCAGACGCTTAATTGTCTCTGCCCTGTTCGAGCTTTAAGGGCTTATATGGACAGGACTAGGGATGGGTACCTTTGACATTTGAATCGATTCGGTATTAATTCCCGGTACCTACGAATCGATACCGGTACTTAACGGTACCAATTTTCGATACTTTTGAGTGTTTATTATTTTAATTCTCTTTTATAATTAAATATATATTTTTCTCAATATATAACAATATTTGATATATATCACGATAAATAACATTCAACTGTTTGTATTTTAACATCGTCCTTGTAGTTTTATAAGCTGATAATTAAACTGAAGCAAACATCTTTACAGTGAACTAAATTTACTGTGTATCTTCATTCCTTTTGCCGTCCTTTGTCTTTGATTTTTCCTACTGGGAAGTTAGAATTTCCAAGGAGAAACCGAACGCACCATTAGCTGATAACAATTAGCTGGTAGCAATGGAAGCTAACATATCAAGCTAACATTATCTTAAACTGTTTATTTAACTGCTGGAGCAGATTAAAACAATGATGCCTCACACTTAGATCGTTGTCACTGGTTTCATCTTGACCCAATCACCCGTCGCATTTAGTAAAGTGAAGCCAAACTTTAGAGCGCATTCATGTTCTTCTGGAATTCGGAGTTCCGAGGAGAAAGCGAACGCACCATTAGCGAAACGGAAGCTAACATATCAAGCTAATTATATTTACCTACCGGAGCAGATTAAGATGAGGATGTCTCACTTAGATCGTTGTCGCTGGTTTCATCATGACCCAGTTACCCATCACATTTAGTGAAGTTGACCCAAGCTTTAGCGTGCGTTTTCTACCATGCTGCTCTGTTTACAACTGGCTCGCAGCGACCGACGACAAAACGCTCTTGCGCATGCGCAGCTGTCTAGGCAAGTTCTCGTTATGAAGGATGGGTACCGAAACGAGGCACCGTTTGAAATTACGTGAATCGGTGCTCGGTCGGTACTATGGAATTCGGTCGGTACCTTAAAAAGTACCGAATTCAGTACCCATCCCTAGACAGGACTGCTGGTTTCAGAAAATAAGACCAGTTTGTTTCTTGTGCCACGGCCCATAAAGGCAAGCCTGTGTCTCGCCAGAGACCGGCACACTGGATTGTAGAAGCAATCAGCCTTTCATATAGGTGTAAGGGTGCTGAACCCCCTGTGGGAGTGAGGGCTCGTTCTACAAGGAGCATGGCCACATCTTGGGCCCTGTTTTCGTGGTGTCAGTCCAGGCAGCAGCTAGCTGGGCCACGCTGCTAACTTTTGTGCAGTTTTACAGGCCGTATGTGTTTCAACCTTCACTGGCGCATTCAGTGCTGGAGGCAGGATGCACAGCGTCTGCCTAGTGGTTAAGCAGAATTTTGCTGCAGCTCATTCTGGGATGGACATGCAATCCGAGAGTGGGCCGTATCTCCCATAGTGAAACACCGAACAAAGTTAGAAAAAGAACGTAGGGTTACGTTTTGTAAACACCGGTTCTTTGATAACAGAGCGAGGTGTTTCACCAACAGTTCCCTTCTTGCATTAATGGTAAGAAATCTTACGAATGAGTAGGAGGGGTTGGTTAACCGTGGATATACTGGGTGGGCGGAGCCTGGGTATGGCACAACCGGTCTGTCAGGAACAGGCGTGATGTCATTGGAGCTTCCGTAGTTGGTCACGCCAGGGCGATTCCCATAGTGAAACACCTCACGCTGGTATCAAAGAACCGGGGTTTACATAACATAACCCTACATTTTATTCTGTGTGCTTAAGAGTTAGCACAGAGTTTTTCAGGAAGTTCACAACAAGGTGTTATTTTTCCCAAATGATTCACCTGACCTAAATGTATGCTTCAACTCTTTTAAAAAAAAATTCTGTTAAATGCACTTTAAATGTATACCAGGACTGTTTCATAAATGCCAGTCGTCTGCACTGTACATGGCACATTCTGTTCACTTTCTGCTCACAGAACCTCTAGTTTATCATGTGTTCAACAACAGATCCTACCAGCTTTAGTTGGTTTATTAGCTGTAGTGAAAAACAAAGGGAGAGTACCTGGTACTTAAGGCGTTCTGTGGTGTAAAATGATGCTTTCGTTGGCATTTATTTAGCTGTTGTTATTAAATCCAGTGAAGAAACTTCCTTGCTGTATGTCACACGTTTTCATGCCGCACCAGTCTTCCATTTACTTGATTTGTCCTGTGCTCTTGTAATATTTTACCAGTATTTTAAATCTCTCTTTATTGACCTGGTGCACATCATGTCCTGTTCAGAACCCTCTTTTGTTACCAGTGTTATTTGATTTTGGGACTCTTCTTGAAACGTCTTCAGGTCTTTGTTAATTTACTCCTTTTGGAACCCCAATAAACACCCTGATATTAGAAATCCAAGTGCTGTGTTTGATAATATCTTAATGACTTGAATGCAGCTTATGTCACTACCCTACAGCATAACCAATTGTCAATGTATAACAGTGTTTCCCGTAGATGTTGATCTTGAGGTAGCAATAGTAGCAAGGCAGGTTTCAGTACCTGACATTGTGCAGCATCTTCTTTTTTTATAGCCAAAATAATTACACACAACTGATGTGCTGCTCCTCTTTGGTACCAAACTTTGTGCAGATTCTTTTGATCCTGAGGCCATTTTATCACATGCTAAAGCGCATCATTTTCTTCTCTCCCTGCCTTGTTTGAGGTGCTCGCAGGTCACACACATTTCCCAGATCTCGCGACCAGTCAAATCGCAGCATTTGCGATTAGAAAATCTCATTTTGTCACACTGCATTGTATTTGCATATTCAAGTAATCGTTCAGCCTTACTTTCTAATCATGTATAATATGGATTTGTACGTAGAGCTTTGCAAAATAGATGCTGATTTGACCTGAAAGTATGGAATGTCCCATCTGCATGACCAATTCATAGACATAAAAAATGCTCTCTTTCAAAAAAGATCGACGAAGGCCTCAGCCAGTCGTCAGTGGTCAATAAATTTGTCCAGTGGTCCAACTTTACCGACCACCATGAGTTCTAATTCAAAGAAGCCAGCCATGTTGGCTGTGGCAGCTTGCTGGTCCAGTGTCAGATGATTTTAATCAAGAGAATATTACACAACATCACACCACACTATTATTTCATTTATGCTTTCATGAGAAGGAAGATCAACTCAGTGTGCCCTCAGTTCTGCAACATCAGCCTTCCCTGAAGAGCAAAACCAAGCTCTCACGAGACTGCCTGAATTTCTCTGCAGACTCACGCAATGACCTATCTGCGTTCTGCCCTGTGTGTGTGTGTGTGTGTGTTTAGGAGAGAGAGATTTTGACTCGTTTGGACTTTGACATGTTTGTGCTCCTGTCGGTTTGTGTCCTCTGTGTCAGCTGCTCATTTGTGATTTGCATCAGCTTCTGTCTCCTCCCTTTTCTCAGGTGTTGTAATTCCAGGAGGCTTTTTTTACTCTGCAGCTCTATGCCTGTATTTGTTTCTGTCTGATTTTTCAAATAGATATTTTTTCTAAAAACGAAAAAGCTCTCGTCCAGATGCCATAAAGTAAAGAGAGTCTGATCAATGTTAGTTTTTACAACCGTGTGTTTCTTTGGTTTACGTAATAAATAATTTAAATAGAAATTCATTTATTTGCATGTATTGTTTATCTCATTAGTTATGAATCTTGTAATATGTTTGTGGTCCATGATGGGTACACGATTAGCCCCTTCTCTTTATTATTTGTATTTCTTTCTTCAAATCCGGATACGCTCCTCAGCATTTCTGGGCTATTGTGTTGCTGCCAGTTGTGTTTTCTCCTGAACTTGTCCTTGGGAGGTTGTTAAATAAACAAGCACATTTCAGACAGGTATCAGAGCTGAGTTCTACCCAGCTTGGCACGCTGAGGGCATTACATAATAGTCATCTTTCCCCCTTTGTTTACTCTGTTTCCGTTTTCACTTTGCTGTTTTCTGAAATCTTGGACTTCTTTCTGTTTTTTCCCCTCCCCTGATTGTTGATGAGCTGTGACTTTTTTAACTCTCATCCTCGTTTCTTCCCCTCAATCCCTCTCCTCTATCCAGCCCTTTCCTACAGTCATCTATTTTTAGCTCCTCATGTAGCTGGCAGATGAGGCGCGTGAAGGCCTGCTAGTGTGTGTGTGGATAGCGGGGGAGAAAGATGGCGTGTGTGGGGGAGTGTTTGGGTCCTCATCACGCTGCACCAAATTTCCCTGCACGAGGCAAACTGAAGTCTTCAGAAAGTCGAGAGGGAGCGGATGGAGACAGTGCTGAGCTAAATCTGAAATTAATTACTACCCACTGAAGTGGCTAATTTTAGATAATGAGTAATTCAATTTCATCTTCGCATCATGCATGCTAGAAATAACTGTCAGTAATTATTCCAGCAAATATTAATTAGACTAGTCACAGAGGTACTGATTTGCACATGCATTGAAAAGCTTGCAGCTGATTTTGCTTAGAGCAGCTTTGAAAACACGATTTGATCAAATTCTTTAGGTCTGGTTTATTGTTTAAAGCAGGTGTTCTGTGAGGTGCAGCGTGTCACATGGACACACTGGCAAGCTTTATTCTGTTTATCTGTTAGTTGGAAAGTTTATAAGGTTTCAAGTCTTTCTCTGATAGAATGTTTACTTTAGTAGATCTGTGAAAAAAATCTGACAAATGTAGTCGTGTTGCCCCAAATTTATAGATTAGAATGTAAACACTAAGGTCTTATTTTCGAGTACTTTTTCATTCTTTAAAAATAAAATATGTTTATTATGTTTATGTTTATTCGCTTAGCAGACGCTTTTATCCAAAGCGACTTACAATTTATAACCTATAGGGCATGTTGTGATCTGTGGGGGAAACCGGAGTACCCGGAGGAAACCCACGCATGCATGGGGAGAACACGCAACTCCACGCAGAAAGGCAGCAGCCGAGTTTTGAACCTGTGACTTTCGTGCTGCGAGGCAACAGTGCTAAACACTGCTCCACCATGCAGCCGAAATACCAGAAACATTTCCTTATTTCAACAAAAAGCCTCAGATGAATTTGTTTTTTTCTTGTGTGAGCGTGTGTGATGGTTTGTGTTTTTATATTTATTAAAGGTGGAGACTCATAAAAGTTATTTTCTTGTTTTCCCATCATACGTTATTGACACATGATATTGCAGTACACATGTTTTCAACTTTGCATTGCATAAGTATGTCTGTGCTGAACCAAGTGCTTCAACTGTGTAAGACTTTTATGCATGAGAAAGATAGGTAGGTGCAATTTCTACATATTAGTTGCATTTTTCAGGAACATGCTAAACTTAACTAACCTACAAATATAGACCAACCATAGCATCGCAAAAGATTGTGCTCTGCAGGTCCAGCTGCACTCCATTTTTCCTCAACAGGTCTACCATTGGATCAAACAGTTTAGTCTGGCCAAATGACGGTGGCCTAGTGGCTTGAGTGTCTGACCTTTGACTGGGTGATCAGGGTTCAAAACCTGGTCAGGTCATACCAAAGACTTTAAAAATGGAATCCAATGCCTCCCTGCTTGAAACCAAACTGTAGGAGTTGGATTGGGGGTCAAACCCCCAAATAGTTCCTGAGCGCTGCCACAACTGCAGCTCATCACCCCCCGTGGGGATGGATCAAATGCAGAGCACAAATGTCACCACTCACCAGTGTGTGTGACAACTGATGGGACTTTAATTTTGAATCTGTATGCTGTGATGGAGATGAAAAACAAAGATGGCATCAACTTAGGATCTGAGTTCATTTGAAATGGCTCTGGCATCAACTGTGGACTATTTAGACTTGAACTTTTCTTTGAGACATAGGCAGGAAGAGGTGCTTATGTCTTTTAATTACAAAAAGGTTGTATTTGCTTCTTGTTAAACGGTGTATGGTGAGCTGCCCCATTGATTGACATCTGTAGTGATGAGTATGTCACATTGTTTGTTCCTTCGATTGGTCCTAACGATGTCCAATTACAGCAGAGACTGTTTAAAAGACAACCGTAGACTCCGCTGTACGACTAGGTGGTTTCAATGGCTTGTGGACAGACTAGATAATTACCTATATAACATGGCTTGCCAGTCTAAAACTCAACTGCAACTAGAGATAAACGGATTCAGTGAAATGTCCTACAATTTGTGCGATAGTTTTAAAACCTATTTTCAATTAAAATTGTTTACAGAGTCCTTATTCTTTAAAAAGCTTCAGTAAGCTCTTGATTTCACAACAGCGGCATAAGGTGACCTCCAGAAAGGTCAAATCTGTAATATGGTAAATGGTAAATGACCTGTATTTGATATAGCGCCTTCAAGAGGCCTTGGACTCCCCAAGGCACTTTACAGCACAATCAGTCATTCACCCATTCACACACATTCACACGCTGGTGGTGATGAGCTACATTGTAGCTACAGCTGCCCTGGGACTCACTGACAGAGGCAAGGCTTGCTGAACACAGGCGCCACTGGTCCCTCTGACCCCCACCAGCAGGAGAGGTGGGTTAAGTGTCTTGCCCAAGGCCACGACGACAGTGATCGACTGAGCAGGGCTCGAACCTGCAACCTTCCAGTTACGGGGCGAGCACTTAACTCCTGTGCCACCTTCGCCACAATATGACTGTACTGGGCATAAGAGACCTTAGCCCTAACCCTTTTTTAAAGATCATCTCTCCACATTGACTACACAAGAAAATAATTTAGAAGTGTCAAAGAAAACATATTTTACAGATGTGCATCTTCTTTCTATGTAGTTAATGGAGAGTTAGCTAAGTGTTTAGTCTGCTGTCATCCTTGGAATTGGGAGTTTTTAATCACAATATTAGCAAACGCATGCTCTTAATCGAGCATGGCATTTAGAGGTAATAGCACTAATGTAAAGTTTGCTCCGTGGCCATTGAAACACAAAATCACGATTGAAGTGATGCTGGGTGCATCATGTTTTCATCCTGCCGACCACAATAGTAAAATTGAACACATTTTGCTGCTATGTTGCTGGTTCTACTGTTTGTGCAACACTTTTAGTTTGTTAAAGTACGTTTTGCACATTCCAACACATTCTAAAAATATTTAGATATTCCATGTTTCAGGACTAGTTTTTTGCTGCAGCATTTATATGTTGTTTCATTCCTTCCTGCAACTTTCTTTACTTTCCATGTGCTGTAGCCCTGGCAGAGAAACCGAGCTGCATAATGATGTACTGCATTCGTTAATCAGCTGTTAATTACTCATAGACTCTGAGCCCACGATAAATAATTAAAGCTGTGCTTTGATGTTTTTGAATCTATCTGCTGAGCTTCTATGTTGCTGCACATTCTGACTAATAAAATCTACTAAACACATGCAATGATTTTTTCACAATATAGACTTAATATCATAAAATAATTAGAACTTAGAAAATCCAATTCAGTACTTCCACGCTGTTTGTGTTTTATTGCTTTTTTAATAATGTGTGCCAAATCATATGGTCATTGTTGCATGTAAAAAAAATACTATGCAATTACATTGTATTGATGGAAAAATTTATTCACGATCTCAAAGGTTTTCCAAGTACTGGGTAGCTCTGCGTGTTACAAATTTTAGCACTTTGAAACAGTTAGTTAAAATTTGGGTTTGATTGTTAGACACACTTTCACTGAAAATAATGGGGAGGTGTTGGTGGGGGGAGGAAAGAGGCAACCTCGTGTCTTTGCAGATGATGATAGGTTGGAAACACAGAGAATGGGAGTGGCCTCTGTGCTGCTGTTTCTGTAGAGAGAGGCAGACGAAGTGAGACAGTGTATGAGAAGCAGACGGCTAAGCAGAATAAATGAGCACAGAGGGGTTCTTCCTGCATCGGTATGCCGGCCAGACTGTCACTGCTCTTCAGAACAGAAGTAACTGCTGACATGCTTTTTGCTGCATGTTTCTGAGCACTGCCACACACTATCTCTGCTGAGATATCGCTGCAACGGACCAAGAAGAAACTGACTAAAGAGTAGGTGCAGATGGAGAAGTGGTGACAAGGAAGACAACTGAAAGCAGAAAAGAAGAAACCGAAAAGAGCAGAAAAGATGCCTAGTCATTCACTCAATAGATGTATGCAGCTGGCCCAACAATGACTTTCCTGTGCAAGCTGTGACAGTGACCCTGTGGATTACCAACTGGGATTTCTGCAGCTGCAGCAGATGCTGAGGACATCTCAGCCTTCTATAGGAAGTACTTTTTGTGCCTTTACCTGGAAACCTACCGAGGAGAAGGACCATTCATTTGAATGTCAGTCAGCTTTTACCCTACTGGTGTTCTAATTGCGTCTGCTCTGAGGAAAATACCAGGGGACTGGATCACCTTTATCTGCCCTCTCCATCTTTCCTGCCTTTAAAATGGAGCATTAAGGTTTTTGTTTGGACGGAAACCTGACTGATGTTAGAGGCAGCCCGCTGTTTGACAAAATAGAGTCTTTGGATTTATCGTACCCTCGAAGGGCCCCTCCTATGTATTACAGCCCATGAACATGAATTCCACCCTGGATCCCCTGAACCAGAGCTTTGCTGACTCGCCTACCTCTTCTGCTCCCTTCTGTTTACTAGAGATAGGCTATTGCCAAATTTTCACCACCTGCCTCCTTGAAGTATCAATCATACTTCTGCTGACTATTCTCATTATTTGTGGTAACTTGGTGGTGATTTTTGTGTTTCACTGTGCTCCGTTGCTCAGCCACCACACCACCAGTGCTTTCATCCAGACTATGGCCTACGCTGATCTGCTGGTGGGGGTCAGCTGCCTTTTTCCCTCACTGTCTCTGCTCCACCACCTGCAAGGTCTGGACCCCAAACTCACCTGCCAGGTGTTTGGGTACATGGTGTCTGTGTTAAAGTCCGTTTCAATGGTGTCACTTGCCTGTGTGAGTGTGGACCGCTACATCGCCATCACACGCCCTCTGACCTATTCATCTCTTGTAACACCTTGTCGAGTGCGCTGCTGCATCGTTCTAATATGGCTGTACTCGGCTCTGGTGTTTCTCCCGTGTTTCCTTGGATGGGGGAAGCCTGGCTACCATGGCGATGTTGTGGAGTGGTGTGCAGTGGAGTGGAGGACTAGTCCCTCTTTTACTTCCTTCATTGTCGCTCTGCTCTACGCCCCAGCTGCGCTAATCGTCTGTTTCACCTATGCCAACATCTTTAAGATCTGCCGACAGCACACCCGAGAAATCAGCAAGCGTCAAGCACGATACCGGCCCCAACAGCAGCCGGGCCCCGGAGCGATGGCGGGATCTTTAGGGAAGAATGCCAGTACTGTAGAGCAAGGGCATTGTCCTCATTTGTCCCAATCACACAGACTCCACCACCACCATCCTCAGTATCAGCAGACCACATCAACATACCCAGACAAGCGGTATGCTATGGTTTTGTTTCGCATCACTAGTGTGTTTTACATCCTCTGGCTGCCCTACATCCTGTACTTTCTGCTGGAGAGCGGAGGGATATATCACCACCCCGCAGCCTCGTTTCTGACCACATGGTTGGCCATTAGCAACAGCTTTTGTAACTGTCTCATTTACAGCCTCTCAAACTCTGCTTTCAGGAAGGGCCTGAAGCGCCTCTGCTCCTACTGTCTACAGCGCAATGGTGGTGGCTTTGGAGTTAGGAACTCCAAAAGGCCTTTTGTTGGTTCTGTAGAGAAGTGTTGTGCCGGGTATGGGTATGGATACAGCCACGGAGACATGAGAGCTGGTACAACGTGTCATGTTTAGTTAATATTCTGAGACAAATCTTGAGCCAGATTTGAGCTTTCAACCAGAACGCCCTAAAGTGGCGGCTTTGAAAAGTTCCTAGTGTGTGGGGTCGCTGCTGTTTGTGCTTCAGAAATGACCCTCTTTGGACAAGCCACAGCTGGCAAACATGGGAACGAGAGCCAAGACCAAAGCAGTCAAGAATGAAAAGGACTTATTAGCCCTTCAAGGTGTGCTTTAACGGTCATGGACTTGTGATATAATGTGTGTTTGGGACTGATGGATCAGGCACTTTGGTATGAAGAAGAAAAAGGTCTCGGTGTCCTCTCTGTAGGAGTAAATTCCTTCAAGGTTAAACAAAATGTTTATCTGCTTGTGTTCTTCTTTCAAAAGGAATTCTTAACTTATTTTACCAAAACAAGAAAGTGCTTCTGTTCAACTTCTCTGTTCTCTGCATTCTTTTGTGACCTTCAGTGTTGGAACGCTTCGTGAAAGCATCAAAGAAACAAAACAATCTAATCTGCAGATTGGCTGCTGTAATTTACTCAGATTGTGCTGAGGTGATTATCGTTTTCTGCAGCATTAAACACTGTTTGGGTGTGTTTCTGAATGTTGGTTTTATTAAGTGAACAGAGTCAAAGAGATGTTTAAACAATGATAGATTCTAATGCATCTTTATTAAAGACATTTTATGAACTTTGAGATAATATGTATTTATTTAAGAAACATCTTTCATTTAGTTTTAAGTTTGCACGCTGCACCTGTTTGTAAAATGAAGCAGCTTTGGTATACGACTGTTAGACTGCTAGAAAGAGATGTATGCATTTTTCTTTAGTGATATTTGAAACATTTCAAGTTTTATTGCACCTTTATTTGTTTTATGTAGCATGATTTAAATGCTGATGTCTTCAAGATACAGAATATCAAAAAGATATTACGATACTGAATGTTGGTACATCGTTGGTTTTCTTTGTTTCTTTGACTTTCATTTCGATGGCAAAGCCTCTTTAGAAACTGGTGAAGAAAAAGAGTCTTGTTAAAGTTTGTTATTTACCCTATATGAATGATTTGAGCATCAAATGCAAACAGAACATAGTTTAGCAGTAAGCTAACGTTATTAAATCGGTAAAGAGGGAAACGGCCCTGGTAACTGTGTGTGTTTGTGTGTGTGTGTGTGTGTGTGTGTGTGTGTGTGTGTGTGTGTGTGTGTGTGTGTGTGTGTGTGTGTGTGTGTGTAGGATCTTTTTAAATTACAAATAAAACAACTAAGTAAATTTTAGCTTAAGTCATACTGAGCAGATATTTGTCATATCATCTAAAGTTATGTGTCAAAGAAAGTTCATCACATCAAATTGGATTTACCATAAACATTTTGAATTAGAAAATTATTATAATGTTCAATACGTTTGAAAGTTTTTTGTACAGAATATGTGTAAAATGTTTCAGTAATGCCTTATGTGCATGAATGAGAAATATTTTTCAGTATTTGGTTAAAGTTGCCTTGATTTACCAAACTCTAGTAAATTGAACTGTTTGCAGATGTGTTTTCCCCTTAAAGCAAGTGAGGGCTCAGCTAAAGGCACATGACTGTTTTTAGTAAGTGCTGACTGGATTCACAGATGCAGGGATGGAAAAGTCCGTCAGAAAAAATAAAGTCGCTCCACCTTTTGACAAACCTGAAGCAGAAGTTATCTAACTGTTTTTTTATTCATGTTGTGTATCTGTTCCTGTGTGATTGAGCACATGAGTGCATCCAGATCTGACCAATGGCTTAGTGCTGACTGTTCACTGTGTTCTGGTCGCTGTACTTTGTGACTGTCGACAGAATCACCTTGACAACTGTAAAGCTGCCATTTGTAAAACTTTGCCAAGTATTGTAACTTTTCCTATTGGACCTTCTTCTGTCTCTGTCTGAAGAGGTGTGTGTTTACAGAAATGTCAGACTGAATGTTAGATTATAAAAGTACACATTTATGTTTTTTAATCAGCTGATTTCTGAGTGTTCTCTTGTGAAGTGATACCCATTGTGTTGTTTGGGTAGGTTTAGCAGCATGCTTACCAGCAGATGTGACTGTTGTCTTGTTTTGTAAAGATTTATTTTATTTTTCTAAAATAATGCGTGTTGTGGGGTTTCTGCTGGAAACAGCGTCGTTTTAATCTTGAGACGGCGATGGCTTTAAATCCGCATTAAATGTTATTGCTGGAAATGTTTTTAGCACTTTAGAAGATAATTGTAGGTTTGTAGAAGTTTAAAAACAAATCGTGATGCCAAATGAGCTCGTTAGTGACGTAACTTATCCAGTCTTTTCCTCCTGAAGGGGGAAACGGCCATCTTAAGAAAATAACATGGGTGGGAGATCTGGAGGAGAAAAATAGTGTTTCTTAACGGCAAACAAAACATTTGCACACGTAGGTTTAGTATAATAGCTTGAAGGCTGTAATGAATAAGAAATTGACAAGTAAGGTAAAATGTTAGCATAAAAAATCAATATTTGAAGTAAAGGTGTTTATTTTATTTTTAGTACAAAATTTTATGCTTGAGACAATGAGAAAATATACAGAAAAATAATTAAGCTGCTGTTGTTTGGACCACCATCGCCATCAGGACCAGTATTACCCAGAATTGGTTGGTTTTGGGTCGTAATGTCGCTCCTTGGGTTACTAATTGCCAAAAATGTAATTTATTAGCTTTATTTTTATATTCATTGTGATTTTTATTTAGATATTATTTGTTTCACATGGTAATAAATTATAAAAATGATTTCTATAAAACCAGAGGTCTTATTTGATTCTTACGATAAAAGGACTCTTTCATGGTAACCAGCAGCTGAATGTAAGTTTAGCTGTTTGTTGAAGAACTGTTTAACGCTGTTATCTAAGTATTGTTTTCCTTGAAGCAGTCAAGGCCATCTTAACAGTCAGACCTTCTCTAAACCAGCAAAAACACTGATCCAACATCTACTGAAACTGCCTATTAGAACCAAGCTTTGGTCTGAAAATGCACCTCATTTGCATCTGTGTGCTTTTTAAAATGAAATCAGACTTTATTTGGTAAACAATGAGGCCTTGAAACTTTTAGTTGGGAAATTGAAGCATTCATATTCAATGATTTGAAGATGTCTACCTTTACAGACTGAATGTTAATCTGAATGGTCAAACATGTGTGTTTATGAGTGAGAATTCTGATTACATGATGCTTTGTAAAAATGTGCTTGTGGTCTATCAGTGGTGAACAAATAAATGTGCATCTTAGTGTTTTGAAATGATCTGGAATCAATTCTGTTGCTAAGTCATGGATGAGAGACCGCGTGTTTGTGCTCATGAAAGGGTGCCAGAAAAATGAAAATACACTTTCCCAGATTAACGTTGCAGGTTAGTTTGTGTAAATATGGTGCACCATATTTCTGCCAGTGCCTGATAAAAGTTGGGGAAGATATTGAAAACACTTCAGTTTTAAGAACTTTATCATTTCAATTTCCTATCGTGATCTTTTCCCTGCTGTGCTGAAGCAGAATACTATTGCCAAAAGGCTACAAAAACAACTGCAATTAGGTTTTAGACCAAAAATGTAAAAATCAGGAATAAAAAGAGAATGTAACTAAATCTGATACATATTTTTAAGTTTTGATATTAATTCCACATTTGTAATGCATGAAGCATCTAAATGCAGCACCCAGGCTTGTTTGGGTGAGGGTAAGGCTTACAGCAAGTTTGACGTGTTGATGTTTCAGCAGAATTTGTAGGTGCACAAAAACTCCAAATCAACAACAACAGCAAAAAAAATCTAACATGTCAGCTTTGTGTTGAGTCAGAGGAAATCAGACACATGAACAACAAAGTGCCGGTTGTTCTGCTTTCTCACATAAGTGCTTTTCTTTTACTGCATTTACAGCTTTGACTTCCTCCCTGGTCTGTTAGGACACCTGTGTTCTCTCAGACCCACCTCTCTAATTGTCTTCACTACATCTGGATTGATATTTACTGTAAATCTATCTGAAGCTTCAGCATCGGTAGCATGAAAGGCCAGATGTGTTCCTCTCACGCGACACTCATAAATCACTCTTTAACTGAACAGACAGATGGACAAAGAGGAAGCTAATTAACTCTTATGTTGGAGGTCTTTGTTTTCTCAGCACTTTAGTTAAGTACAGCTAAGTGGTGCTTGTATAAACAAGAATCAGTACCATTTATCGAGAGGCCAAGAAGAACATGCTCGTCGCACTACAATAATCATCCTCATGCCTCTAAACTAAAACGATTCCTCTATGAATGATCAGAATTTACAAAGGAAGATAAAATGATATTTAAAACACTTGTAGCAAGACGTTTTAAGTGTTAAGAGATAAACTTTAAATTAATATGACCTTAAATGATTATTTTGGTAACACTTCCTTTTATTTGGTAACACTTCCTTTTACAGTCCCCTAATTACTAAGTGCTTACATGGTAATTACATAATAAGTTAAAGTGTATTATTTTGTAATGAAATTGTAAAATTGTCATAAAGTGTAGTTATTGTGTAAAACAGTATTTACTGGGAATGATTAATAAAAATAAAAACTAGAATTGAACCTAAATTACATGGTGATAACTGTTTAAGAACTCAGAAACAATAATACACTTTAACTTACTATGTAATTACCATGTAAGTACTTAGTAATTAGGGGACTGTTAAAGGAAGTGTTACTAATCTTTATTTATTTTTCAAAACCTTTTGAGCAAGCACCAGTTAATAATTTCCATCACTCAAGGTTCTTCAAATCAGTGAAAATCACAAGCAGTCACACAAGTCACAATGTTGCTCAAAAAGGGCAGAATGTTTTTCTTAATGGTTTGTTTATGAAAGTAATTATTATGACATGGCTCAGATTTTATATATACATGTGTGTGTGTATATATATATATATATATATATATATATATATATATATATATATACATACATATATATATACATACATATACATATATATACATACATATACATACAGTGGGGCAAAAAAGTATTTAGTCAGCCACCGATTGCGCAAGTTCTCCCACTTAAAATGATGACAGAGGTCAGTAATTTACATCATAGGTACACTTCAACTGTGAGAGACAGAATGTTAAAAAAAATCCATGAATTCACATGGCAGGATTTTTTAAAGAATTTATTTGTAAATCAGGGTGGAAAATAAGTATTTGGTCACTAAACAAGGAAAATCTCTGGCTCTCACAGACCTGTAGCGCCTTCTTTAAGAAGCTTTTCTGTCCTCCACCCGTTACCTGTATTAATGGCACCTGTTTGAACTCATTATCTGTATAAAAGACACCTGTCCACAGCCTCAAACAGTCAGACTCCAAACTCCACTATGGCCAAGACCAAAGAGCTTTCGAAGGACACCAGGAAAAGAATTGTAGACCTGCACCAGACTGGGAAGAGTGAATCTACAATAGGCAAGCAGCTTGGTGTGAAAAAATCAACTGTGGGAGCAATTATCAGAAAATGGAAGACATACAAGACCACGGATAATCTCCCTCGATCTGGGGCTCCACGCAAGATCTCATCCCGTGGGGTCAGAATGATCATGAGAACAGTGAGCAAGAATCCCAGAACCACACGGGGGGACCTGGTGAATGACCTGCAGAGAGCTGGGACCACAGTAACAAAGGTCACCATCAGTAACACACTACAACGGCAGGGAATCAAATCCTGCAGTGCCAGACGTGTTCCGCTGCTGAAGCCAGTGCATGCCCAGGCCCGTCTACAGTTTGCCAGAGAGCACATGGATGATACAGCAGAGGATTGGGAGAATGTCATGTGGTCAGATGAAACCAAAGTAGAACTTTTTGGTATAAACTCAACTTGTCGTGTTTGGAGGAAGAAGAATACTGAGTTGCATCCCAAGAACACCATACCTACTGTGAAGCATGGGGGTGGGAACATCATGCTTTGGGGCTGTTTTTCTGCTAAGGGGACAGGACAACTGATCCTTGTTAAGGACAGAATGAATGGGGCCATGTATCGTGAGAATCTGAGCGAAAACCTCCTTCCATCAGTGGGAGATTTGAAGATGAAACGTGGCTGGGTCTTCCAACACGACAATGATCCCAAACACACCGCCCGGGCAACAAAGGAGTGGCTCCGTAAGAAGCATTTGAAAGTCCTGGAGTGGCCTAGCCAGTCTCCAGACCTCAACCCCATAGAAAATCTGTGGAGGGAGTTGATAGTCCGTGTTGCTCTGCGACAGCCCCAAAACATCACTGCTCTCGAGAAGATCTGCATGGAGGAATGGGCCAAAATACCAGCTACTGTGAGTGCAAACCTGGTAAAGACCTATAGTAATCATTTGACCTCTGTTATTGCCAACAAAGGTCATGTTACAAAGTATTGAGTTGAATTTTTGTTATTGACCAAATACTTATTTTCCACCCTGATTTACAAATAAATTCTTTAAAAATCCTGCCACGTGAATTCATGGATTTTTTTTTCACATTCTGTCTCACAGTTGAAGTGTACCTATGATGTAAATTACTGACCTCTGTCATCATTGTAAGTGGGAGAACTTGCACAATCGGTGGCTGACTAAATACTTATTTGCCCCACTGTGTATGTATATATATATATATATATATACATATATATATATATATATATATATATATATATATATACATATAATTTATTAATTGTTTTTCTGAGTGGATACATTTTACAAGATGATTTATAACTGAAAACAATCACCCATTCTGCCTCTTACTCACTGTGACCTTTTTGACCCTGTGACTACCTCTTGTCAGTTTAATAATATCAGAATCAACTTTATGTTCATTGCACCAGCGTCCTGGAACAAAGAAATTTGACTCCACAGCACAACCTGACCAAGAATAAACACACGATATAAAGACAAGACATGTACAGGCAGGCCACGAGAGCAGCCATACACGATGCTTCCAATTTAGGGTGGACAAAAAACTTTTTCTCAGAACACTTCATTTCCGATCACATCCAACACTTCAGTCAAAAACAGCATCTAATAGGCTGCATGCCACAACCCCCTGTAAAACGCTTCCTGACCTTTGAATCACTTCCGGGTCACAGTAACATTAATGTTTTCTGTGTCATTTAGGGCATCGCTGCAGGAAGTGCAAAAGGTCAGCAGTCAACAATATTCACAGGAATTATTCTGTGGAAATTGTTGATATCCAGGCCACATCTAAAACACCAAAATCAAATAAAGACAAAGGTTTTCAGTTGCATGTATCAACTTTTGAAGGTAAGTTAATTAGCTTTTGCTTTGGGTTACAAAATGATCATACATGTTAGCTCTTTACCAGCACAGCGAGGAAGCAACGCTAATGCTATCAAAGTTATAACTTCAGAAACAAAAATGACTCATGATAATAACCCGTCACTCTGATAATGGTAACTCTAGCTGTCTTTACCAAACAATGCCGTCAATTTGCCGCAACGCTGAAGCAGCGTCAGGGAGCCTTAGGTTGTGAATAAGTGCCAACATCATGGTAGTAATGTTGCGCAAGCGTGTCCTTTTTACAAAGTATTACACAGTGGTGGCATAAAGAGGGTATGGGGCGGTCTTAGCACTGCTGCGGACTTCTGTTTATCTTGGACATAACTTGCCTTTTATTGCGATGAAAGCTGCTCTTATTAGGGTTTTTTATTTTATTTTTTTTTTTAACTAGCCACTCCAGAAGCGCTGCATTGCCTCAGATTGTTATCTCAGCTGATTCTGTTTACAAAAGCGAAATTTACAGCCTGGTTTCACTTTAATTTTCAACATAGTTGCCGGCCGGAGCTCGTCGTTTATAAGAGAGACAATTACCACAATATTACTACCAAGTGAGGCGGAACAAATACCGCAACTGTTGCGCAGTGCCATGCCGGTATGGCACGTTTATTAGACACACTGTTGCTGTAATAGTATGCTTATTTTCTGGCAGGTGTGTCTTGTAAATAGAGCTACTGCTTCCTCACTGTGCTAACCTTGATAAGTAAAGAGCTAGCATGTATCATTGTTTTGTAACCCAAAGCTAATTCCCTTAACTTCATAGTTATAGATAGGTGGACACATCCAATCTATAACCTTTGTCTACTTGATTTTGGCGTTTTAGATGTGGCTTGGATTACCCGTGGTCCATGGCATAAACCCTATTGAGTTATATACAGTCAGTTTGAATGGTAGAAAGTCAAACACTTAAAACTCTCAAGTTGTCTTTAGAATTCCAGCCGATTCTCTGTTGCAATCCCCTGTCTCAAGCATGTACTCAGCAGAGAGGGCAAACTCCCTTTAAAATGGGGCAGAACATCCAGTAGATCCAGGCTCTGGATGGGGGGACTCATGTCGACGAGGCCTGTCTGTGTTGGGTCACTTTCCTCGCTCCATTCCAGCTTTGTGATTTCACATGAGATCAACATGGAAAAAGAGCATCTCAGACCAATCCTGAGTAGACTCCAACATCAAATCCAACAGGACCCCTAAAGAAAACTAAATTAGAGAGTCACAAAATCCTCTCTGAGCTACACATAGAAACAGTCATAGACTTACAGGCGCGGTGTAGGATGTGAATCAGACCAATGTTCTTGTTCTCTGCTCACCGTTAGCTGTCTTTGTTCTAGCATTTCTTTCTTCCTGCATTTCTTCTAATAGTGGCATTATTTTTGGTTTGTTCTCTTCCTTTGTGGAAGTTGGAACAGAAAGCATTGAACAAGGATGCTGTGAGGGTGGGGTGGGCTTCATAAGTACCAGAACAAAAACCAACAAGGTATAATTAGCTACTAGAAGATCAAGAGAGTTCAGAAACAAATGAATATAGGGATTAAGTGCTGGTACATCTTTCTGTCTGCTTTAGAGGGAGCTGTTGCTGTTGAACAAGGATTCGTGATAAGGTCCAGTCCTGTTGATGAGTCTTTGGGCAAGTTACAGGAAGTAGAAAAACCAAAGGATTATTCTAAGTCTCCCGTATGTGAAACAGAGTTTTAAAAATTAGCTTTATAAGAACTTTAAACCGCTGAATGCTCCACTCTTTAATACTACTGTTAGAGAAAGGTGCACAAGTACAGGTTTTCTCTCCATAATACCATGTGAACGAGACCAGAGATGCCCTCCACATTCTTATATTTATTTCTTTCAGACGCTGTATGAAGACGTCTTTATTCATTATCTTAGAGCAGCATTATTTATTTAAAGCTTATTTCTGCGAAATACACCGGTAATCAATAATGAAATGAGCTGTGATTAATCTTTGAAAAGCAGGGTCGGTCGTTAGTGGAGTATTTACTGATCCGATGTGGTGGTTTCTCTGCATGGTGCTCTGTCAGCGCCAGTGTTTGCAAAAGGTTTCCCCAAACTAACAGTGTTCTAATTTACATTCAAGCAGGTGCTATGTTACACTTGCATCTTTCTTACTGCATCCTTCATTCGTGTGTTTTAATTCTCACCACCGTCCATCAGCTGCTGGTGCAGAAGACACCAAACACGCTCATATCAGCATGTTTGTTGAACGAACCAAAAGTTCTCTAATCACTTTAAAGGAGTTCATTGTGTGAGAAACTTTTAAAAAAACTACAACATCTCCGTTTTTTGGAAGACACACCTTGATTTTTCTCTTATTCAGAGTACTGTTTGTCAACTCCAGGAGCACAAAAATAGCTCGGATGTATTTTTTATTATTATTATTATCTTTTTTTTTTTTTTTTTTACAATCGATTAAAATTCTTACAAGAAAGAACAGTTGAAGTCACGAGGAGATGTGGAGCTGTGGACGGTCTGTACGGTAGAAGAGTACGCTCTGTGCTTCCAGTTTTCTCTTCCTACCTCACATGGTAAATCTCAATACCGGGGGGACGAAACGATGTAGAACACTGACAGCTGCCTGGCCTAAGTGGAGTGTTAGTGTTCAAAGATACACAATAACAAAAGATTCAGCTCCTAGGGCTGTCCTCTGCCATAGTGCCCCCCCCCCCCATCTCATTTTATTTTACTGTTGTAAAACTTTTGTTTCCTCCCTCTCTTGTCTCATTCATAGGAATCTCCCCAGGACAGCGCAATCACCAGGGACATTAACAGGACGTTCCCAGCTCATGACTATTTCAAAGACACTGGAGGAGATGGGCAAGACTCGCTTTACAAGATCTGCAAGGTGGGACCTCGGCACACGTAAAAGTGGTCCTTTTTGCAGGCGGAATCCTACAATCGACTTCATGCTGCACACAAACAGATCTGCAACATCTGTGTGGCAAATGAGGTGTAAACAGTTTAGCAGCACATGTTGAAAAATATGAGGAATAAACGCTTAATCCAAGCTTAGTTTCGAAACACATTGGTAGAAAGGTTTCATTTGCAGTGTAGCAGAATGAACAGAAGAGGCACTTGTATGAATTAGAAAACATGAGATATTGCCAATAAAATATTTAAGATGAGACATGCTCACTGACCACTCTATTAGATACAAGCTGGACTCTATTTGACCTTCAGCACTGCCTTAATTCTTCCTGTAAGGAATCCAATAAGATGGAAACGTCCTTCAGAGGTTCTGGTCCATACTGACTCAAGAGAATCGGCTGTAAATGATGGTTCAGGGGAATAATTCCCGTTAGGTCCATGGTTTCTGACCAGGGCAGCCCATCTGGCACCAAAAACCACACCTAAATGAACTTAAATCTCCTTTCTTCTCCGTTGTGATGCCTAAATTATCAGTATGTTGCCCTGTGACTGGCTGGTCAGGTGTTTTGCGTTACAAAGCTGTTCAACAGGTGTAGCTAACGAAGTGGCTAGTGAGTGCCACTTAGAAGTTGTGAAACAAGTCCTTCAGGTAAAAGCAGAGTTAACTGTCAGAACTGGGGCCAGTCACTTACACTGAGTCTAATTAGAAAGCTTGTGGAGCAGCAGCGAAGGTTGCCGATGCCGTGCATGAGTGCATTAATTAAATCTGTCACTTTGAGACTGTTTGGTTCAGCAGGTTCACAAAGGAGCGGCGAAGCAAATTAAGTTGAATAAACAGAAACTCAAGACCCAACTGTAGTCAGTCAGTCCTGTTAGGTGGGCTAATTAAGACTCACACGAGCACAGTCCTTCTAATTGGTCATAAATAATGTCAAATATCTATAAAAACATGTATTAAAGGTGTGGAACACTGGAAAAACTTTTAAATTATTATCTCTGATTATAATCGGTCACACCGAGTCTTTCATGCAAGCTGACCATGACAATAGTCTCCCACACCTATCTCCTGCATTAGCTTCTAATAGAAAATAGACAGTGAAACTCTAGAATTTGAAAAGCCTGACAGATCTACATCACACTGTCACTTAACATTCATAGATTCACCCATCTTGGCTCGCGATAAGGAAGGCTGTTGTTGTTTTAGCGTCTAGGAAACGGCAGAGAACATCCAGCTAGTAGAAGCTAACTGTTAGCCTTAGCAACTCCACCCCACAGCAGAACTCCTTCAGGCTTGTGTTATTCGTGTAGACAAAACATCAACGCTGCAAACTGAGTCAGTTGTAGGGTCGCGCCATCGTTATCCAATCTGAGGTGAGATGTCCGAATATCAGGAAGTAAGACTCCAAATCCTGCTGTTTTCTGCTTCCCACTCCTGCGCTTAACTTCTACTTCCTGGAGATCAACGTTGCAGATCAAACAGAGTCAATTGACTCACTTTGCTTTTAGCCAATCAGAGGTCAGATGTCCAAATATCAGCAAATAAGACTCCAAATCATCATCTGAAGCTGCTTTAGCCCAATCCCAGTACTCCCACTGTGCCCTACAGTCTTCTGCAAAGTGCACTTGGAGGACGTGTGCAGTAAGGTTTCATGCGCGTAATACACAAGTGTGCAAATAATAGCTGAATTGCGACGGTGAGCATTGCGTCATTGACTGCTACGCTGCTGGTCGCTGTTTGTGCTACATTTTAAACTATCTTTATTAACAACTTTCAAACAAACAAAAAAAAACCCAAAAAATTCTTGACAAAATTTTCATCCATTGTCCACACTGTCCACATAAAATTTTAGTCTAAAACATTCAGAGCATGAATAAATGTTGATCATCTTAAAATTAACTTCTTTTGTTGAAAATGCATATCTTCAGAAAAGGCACTTGAGCCGTTGCTCCGCCTTCTTCTGAAAATTCCCATGCAGAAATGGTTTGTGGGTAATACCTTTTTGACCAAATTTGCCCCAACACAGACTTGGGCCAAGTGCGGATCAAGGGTGAAAAAGGGGCGTGGTCAATTCTGCACTCACACTCCTGGACTGTAACACGCAATTGAAAATGCCCAAGAGCGGAAGTACGAGTATTTTGATTTGGCAATTTATGTATTGATTAAACCAGTGAAGCACATCTTTAAAGTAACCCTACTTTTTTCTTTATACTGTTTTTATCACAGTAACTTTCTTGTATTTTATAGACAAACTTAGTCTAAAAAGCTCTATCACATATTTCTGCTGCTGAACGATCCATGTTAACATATAGTTCTGCTATACGTCCTGAATTGCCCCACCACAGTATTTCCACAGTTTTCTGTTTCATTTCATTCATTATGCAAAGATCTTGTGAGGACATTCATCTCCTCTCAGACAGGCAGCTCCTGAGGTGTGTTTAAATAATTCACAGGCCTCTCCCTTTGCTGTGCGTTCGGATCGATCTACACTTTGTCCGTTTGACTTCGACTTTGTGTTTCTGGTTCAGTGGGCCACTACGGTCCTTTTCCTAATTTTTCACTTTGTCTCCTTCCTGAATATTAAATGAATTCCTTGATTTTTTTACACTGACCTGATTTTCTGAAAACCAGATCCAAGACAGAAATATGGTTATGCTTTAGTCAGATAAAGTACTTTATTTTTTACCTTGTATCATATTTTTTATTTGTTTTTAAACTTTCTACTGACTCTTGTTTTCCCTATTCTACTCTCCATCAGGCCTACTCTGTTTATGATCAGGAGATTGGTTACTGCCAGGGCCAGTCCTTCTTGGCTGCCGTTCTGTTGCTACACGTGAGTTAACACACCTGCAGAGTCCAGAACGAGTTCTGGGCAGAGGGGGCTTGCCTTGCTTTCATGTGTCTTCTCGAGCCTCAACAACTCTAGCAGATTGGTTTGGAGTGCTTTAAGTTCTCAGACCTGAGGTTGGATGTTCTCTCAGGAAACACTTATATTTCTAATCACTCTAATGATTATTAAGGTTTAAGTCTTGGTCTGGTGTCAGCTCACCGCTGGAGCTAGAGACATTCTAACGCTGCCATCTAGTGGAGAAATGTTTATTGTATTTGTAAAAATTGCCCCTAAAAGAGACACAAAGCCCAGTTGTGCTGGTGTAGGACACTGAGTAGCAAATCTTTTTATTGTATTTCCAGATGCCAGAGGAGCAGGCTTTCAGTGTCCTGGTGAAGATCATGTTCGATTACGGGCTGAGGGACCTTTTCAAACAGAACTTTGAGGATCTTCACTGCAAGTTCTTCCAGCTTGAAAGACTCATGCAGGTTTGTGTTTAACTTGCACACCTCAGGTACCTTGTTGTACATGTTTACCTAAACCAGACTGCTGTTTGGTATTTATTCACCAGAGCTGCTTTATTTGAACCCTTAAATGGACCCTCCTCTGCTTCACATTCTCCCTCTCATTCCAGTGCTTCCACACACTGCTGTGCTATTTTTAAAGTCTTTTCCTCCCTTTTTCCCTTTTGTTAGGAATGCATTCCTGATCTGTACAACCATTTTCTGAATGTGGGTCTGGAGGCTCACATGTACGCCTCTCAGTGGTTCCTCACCCTCTTCACAGCCAAGTTTCCTCTTTACATGGTCTTCCATATCATCGACCTGCTGCTGTGTGAGGTTGGTGATTTAAACACTTATTCTGCAGCTGCTGCACATTTGAACCTGGTGGGATTTCTCTTTATTTTTACTGTTTATTAATGATAGTAAAAAAAATTTGAAGGGATATTTTGCAACCTTTTCCATACATTTTTTATAATTTTCTTGAGCCAGTATGCGCTAAAATGATCTTTTACAGGGTTAATAAAAAGCCACCCAGTCCATATTGCCACTTGTAACCAGAATATTCCATTTGCACCTTCAGACTGGTGCTGCTCTGCTTGGAAAAAATTGAGAAAAAATTCCAGCATGTTTCCTGCATGTTTTAGATCATGACCACAGCTGGTTTGTTTAATTTAGTGATGAATCACTCCTGTAGACACTAAGGAAGGCTGGGAGACGTTTCAGCTGTTAGATTAAGGTCTTTGCTTTCTGTACTACAAACAGACACTAGACGGTGGTGCTGGGCAATACATCAAAAATGTATCATTATTGAAATTTTTGACTAACCACTATCATTTTTCCATGTCAAAAAATTTGATCATAAAACAATGAAAAGATGTGTGTAGGTTGATGATGTTCATGTTCCTTTAAGAAGCTGTACCAGTCGAGACACGTGACATGACTTAACGCAATACAGGCGACAGCCACATCTAGTGGACAACTTCTGTTTCTGCGCATACATGTAGTTATCGTCCATTTATCGTTATTGAGGTGAACTCCTTAAAGCTGCCTTCCAGAGTTTTCCTCTTTCAGAAATTATATATGATTTGTCAGAAATCCGTAAAAGGGGTTATCCTATCATGTACTGTGATATAATATAAGCAATACGTCATATATATATATATATATATATATATATATATTTTTTTTTTTTTTGCTAAGCACGCCCCCTGCCCCACAGAGCTCCGTGCAATAGGAAACTGAGCGCCGACCAGAACTAACCAATAGCGTTAGACTACCGCTTAGATGCTTCACATTTAAGGAATACTTCAGCTGATGCAGAGTTGATGAACTTTTCACGGACAGGAAAGTCTCTAAAATATAAGTATATGAAAACACAACATAACATGAGAATAATACTCATAAATCAACGTGCTTTAGCTCTGTTTGTCGGCTACAGAAGCACATTTATAAACAGAAATGTGAAGTCGCCATCTTAAAAAAACAGAGGAACAGTGGTTTTGTGTGATATGCTTGTCAGCCACTAGATGGTGCCACTGCAAAAGAGAAATACTCCAGAATGAAGCTTTAATATACTGTGAAATTGATTTTAGTCCATATCGCCCAGGCCTACTAGGGGTACTAAAAGCAAGCCAAAACTGCCTAGTTCCCCTAATAATAAGAAAAATGTACAAAATAGAAATAAAATGCCAAAATTAGAATAATGTTTTAGATTGTTGTGTTTATCTAGATGTTATTAAACATTAAATTGAATGAAATTGAACCAAGAAAAAGGGATACAAAAACAACAATGCTGTAGATAACAAGGTTTTGCAATTAGAAAAAGGGTTTTTTGTCTTAAAATCATAGATCTATTTGATAAAACATATTTTCTAACATTTTTATCTCCATAAACAGCTAAATTGTCCCAAAACCTTGAAGATAGTAGACGATATGATGCTGTCATTAGGAAGGAAGGAAATATGTAAATATGCTTCTGATTGCACACAATTACACATGAACTTATATGTTTATATTATTCAAGCTAAATAGATCCCAAAGTCTCATAAACTGACTCAACGTTACTGTAATCAAGTCTGATGGTCGTAATAAAAACTGTTGGATAAAGTAAAGCTAAATCAAAAATGATTGTTTTGTGCAGGTAAACAGTTCAATAAAAAAATATAAAATATCATTGCTGACAGGGATGTAAGAAAATATCTCGATATTTTGTTTTATGATACTGAATTAATATTTAAAATCACTGTATCATATTTTTATGTAGAATTTACATGCAAATATTTACTGTTCCTTTTGTGTAGTGCAGTTCAAACTCCGACAGGTAGGTGGCAGTAGCTTTCACTATGACAGTGAGATCTCATGATCACACTGAATGTGCCTGGGAAGCATCTAGCCTGAGTTCTCCAATTACATTCTGTCTTAAAAATAACAAATACCTGCTGATGTTTAAAGCAAATCAAATCAACTTTATTTATATAGCACTTTTCATACAAAAAATGCAACTCTAAGTGCTTCACAGATTAAAATGGCCCCATAGATCCCATATTCCTATCCCAGCCCCCCTCCCCAAGTATAAAACAATTCACAATTACGGTTCCCGTCCCGCACCCAACTTGCAAAGTGGACATACAATCACCCGCACAGACACACACACACACACACACACACACACACACACACACACACACACACACACACACACACACGCACACACACACACACACACACACACACACGCACGTACGCACGCACACACACACACACGAACAACAGAGGAAACAATAGGCTGAGTTCAGATGGGTCAGGTAATGAACGACACATCATCAGCAGAGCCACTGGCCCTGACAGCAACAGATCCACGGCAGCAGCCAAGACACCGGCCCTTGACGCCCAGTGGGGCAGGGCAGAAACCCCCACCACTGCCCGGGCACTACCCGAGGAGCACTCCAGCCACCGCCGCCGCCGCCGCCGACCACCGGCCCCAAGGCAGAGGGCTCCGCAGAGGAAACACTGGAGGATTAAAATATATAATTGTAAAATAACAAAAGCTAATATGGATAAAAAGTAACTGATAAAAAGTGATTATAAAGATAGTAAAAGGAAACATAATCATGTAAAAAAACTAAGATGTAAATAAAATGATAAAATTAATTAAAAGAGATAAATATGTATATATATATATATAAGTAAACAAATATGACAGACAATTCAGTTAGACAGACTAGATAAATAGTAATCAGTTAAAAGCTAAGCTAAAAAGGTGGGTCTTGAGCCTATTCTTAAAAGCCTGGACGTTCCCTTCGGCCCTGAGGTCCTCCGGCAGCCCATTCCAAAGGCGAGGGCCGTAGTACTTGAAGGACGCCTCGCCGTGAGTGTGAGTCTTAACTTTCGGGGTAACTAGGAGATGGCTGCCAGAGGAGCGCAGAGACCGCGAGGGTTTATATAGTAAAAGCATTTCTGAAAGATAAGAAGGCCCAAGACCATTAAGACACTTAAAAACCATTAAAAGAACCTTAAAATCGATCCTGAAACATACGGGGAGCCAGTGCAGTGATTTTAAAACCGGAGTGATGTGCTCCCGCTTCCTGGTCTTCATCAGGACACGTGCTGCTGAGTTTTGTAAAAGTTGTAAACCTGAGACAATCTTTTTGGGAAGACCAGAAAGTAGGGCATTGCAGTAATCAATTCTACTGGTTATAAAAGCATGTACTAGCGTCTCCGTTTTGGCCCGAGAGAGAATGGGGCGGACTCTGGCGATATTCTTAAGATGGTAAAAACCTATTTTTGTGATGTTTTTAATGTGGGGAATAAAAGTCAGCTCAGAGTCGAAAATAACACCCAGATTCTTCACTTGTAGTGATGGATAAAAAGACATTGACTGTAGTTTAGGTAAAAGTTTCTCTCTCTGGGCCTCAGGACCGATGACTAAAACTTCAGTTTTGCCTCGGTTGAGCTGGAGAAAGTTTTCAGTCATCCATGATTTAATATCTAAAATGCAGTTAAAAAGTGTTTCCATTGGCTGTGAGTCATCAGGAGACACGGAGATGTACAACTGTGTATCGTCAGCGTAACTGTGGAAATTCACCCCATGTCTCCTGATGACGCTGCCCAGAGGGAGCATATAGAGGTTAAAAAGCACTGGGCCTAGAACTGAACCCTGAGGCACACCACATGTGATGCTGTGGACCCCAGAGGAACAGGTATCCAAACTCACCATAAAAGTCCTGTCTGTGAGGTAGGAAGTGAACCAACTGTGAACAACACCACAGAGGCCGATCTGTTTTAAACGAGTTAAAAGAATAGTGTGGTCTACTGTATCAAAGGCAGCACTTAGATCCAGCAGAACGCCAGTTTCTTGCCAATAAACACCCCCATTCACTGAGCATTTAGGTTCTGCTTTTGTATCTTACTTACAGTTTGTTTTTGTTTTTCAGGGCATTAGTGTGATCTTCAATGTAGCCTTGGCATTATTGAAGGTGAGGTTCCCCACAAAATTGGATTCAGACACACACACACACACACACACACACACACACACACACACACACACACACACACACACACACACACACACACACACACACACACACACACACACACACCAATATGTGTGAGTAGTAACAGAAATGGCCTTCAGAAGGTCCAGCTTTGGAGAAAATGTTCTTGTTGGCTCATGGGGGAGTCACCAGTGTGCTGAAACCAGTGCACATGCTTTCTGTTAGATGTGTTTTGTTTCCAGTTTGATCAGTTAAACATTCTTTTTGTGAGTTCTCGTGAATCTTTTGCTGTGTTTTATTCTGTAGAGAACTAAAACAGGATCTTATTTCATCGTGTTGCTACTCACATGAAAGGGTTTAGCAGAAGTTGCTACTCTGGTTTGGATAAATCATATCTACTCCAGACTGATAATAATATTGTCATCATATTTTTTTTTTCTTCAGACATCAAAAGACGATCTAATCCAAACAGACTTTGAGGGCGCACTCAAATTTTTTCGAGTCCCTGTTCCAAAGAGGTACCGCTCCGAGGAAAACGCAAAGAAACTGATGGAGCTGGCCTGTAGCATGAAGGTGAGTGGAGGCTTCCTGTTCTCCTCTTTCTAACAAAAATATTATTATAAATGATGATAATATTAATTACCTAGAAGGAGCTTGCTCGTTTAAATTTATTCCAAAGTGGTGTCAAAAACATCTGTCTTTACATTTATATCCTCAGGATATAAACACAAGAAGTCTTTTTATAAAAGTAATAAAGGAAAAATCTGCACTGTGCAGCAATGCTGCTGTGCTACCGTTAGGGGTCTCTGTTGAGCTGTATCATAACTCACACACACACACACACACACACACGCGCACACACACACACACACACACACGCACACACACACACGCGCACACACACACACACACACACACACACACACACACGCGCGCGCACGCACGCACGCACGCACGTATCCTGACCTGATTTTAGCAGTCTGGCCCAGTTAAGAAGAACTGACTTTGAAGATAACTTTGGGCAGAAATATTTATTTGTTGAAACGCTAAGAAAAAAAAGCCGAGTGGGAACAGGTGGGCAGCAGATGAAACATACATCAAATCTCCAACAACAGAGGAAATCCTGTAAGCCAGTGATGCTTATATTAGCCCCAGTTTGACAGAAACACATACGTGTATTATTATGACACGGTGAACAATAATAAGTTAGAAGCAAACTGACTTTCGCTCCTACATTTGTTAATCTGAACCCTTGCCAGCAGGATTAACTGATTATTGGATTACAGTTGATCTCACTGATGGATGGCTCTGACAGAAACACGCATTAATTTTGTTTGTGTTCCATAAAAGGCCAGTCATGTGACATTTAAAAACATTGTGTTGGTTCAGTTTTAGATGGTTTTTTTCTAGTGCTGAGGGATGATCTCAGCTCCTGACCTCATCTCACAGCTGTCTGTAGTTTAAACAAATCTTTTTAATGTCCACCCGAGTCTTTGTTTCCTTTATTCAGCAGGAGCGTCTGATTTAAGAAATAACTTCCAGCTTCGCTTTGCATTTTCTCTGATCTTTCTAACGTTTGGGTTCATTTGGAAATGTCTTTTTTCCCCATAGAAAAACGCAATTTTATGCAACGGGGGGAGAAAAAAAACTGTCTGCAAAAAAATATGTAAATAATCCTCTCATTTTATTTATTTATTTTTTTACAAAGACCTACTTTCAGCAACTATTACCCCTCATTCACACTCGTGCAGAACGACAGGAGTTCTGTTTCCGCACGGCTTCTGCATGGACCCAAATCATTGAGTCCAATCAGAGCCTTTTCACACCTGCCGCTGTGAAAATCCAGATGTGGAAGGTTTGTTTCTTCATAGTCCATTTTCTCTAGATACTGCATCGTCATGAAGTTAAAGAAATGGCACAAGCCAGACAGGAAGTTAGACTTGGAACAGCTAGGAGCATCTGTTTTGTTTTTCCAAATAAAACTCCTCTTGCATTGTTTTATTATTAATGACAGTAATATCAGGTCACAGTGTATGATAGTTCACATCATTTTTACCGGCATATTTTTGAACGCATTGTGTCAAATTTCTAATCATTTGGTGTCCTAGTGGAGCAGATGTCTGGAGATGTTCAGCAGACGGACCGTAGTGGGGGTGAATGACAGACAGGAAACCGGACCGCCTCCACGCCGCACTCTGTGTGAACGAGTAGTTAGCCTATTTTACCGATCTCCTGGTGCAGCTGCTGACTTTATTAAACTATTTGATTAAAATCTATCAGAAGACTTTGCAACATCATCTCGTAGCGTCTGAGGTCTGCAGGACTGACCGCATTTAGCTTCTATTGGGCCATTCCCATCTGTACTGGGTCGGCCCGGGCCGGGTAGCCCCAGTCGGCCCCAGCCTGGCCCGGTTGATTCCACACATCCTTGTCTTAAGCCCATGTGGGCTGATTCTACCCACCAATCAGAGGCTTGCTCTAATGGAAGGTGTGAATTTGCTGTCAGCAGTGGGTGTGTTGGCCCTGGTCGGCCTGAAGCAGACCCCCTCAAGAAGAGGGCTGAGAATGAGCCTTGGCTGTCCCGGAAAAATACCAGGCCACCCAGATACGTAAACAACCTACGCTACCCAGCCCGGGCCGACCCGGTACAGATGGGAATGGCCCATAACTCTGACTCTACATTTCCATTCAGACTCACTTTTGTATGTTTTCAGTAAAAACAAGAACATTTCCAACTGATCCCAAACTTCTTGTTGACCATAACATAAAAGAGATCTTGGCTCTTTGTCATGTTTATGGTTAAAGATGGCGGCCATACAAACAGTCAGAGCACCCCTGCTGCTACTGCACTAATTGGTCATTTCAAATGGATTGAAGTTTTCCTAATGAGAAGCCTGTCTTATTATTGATGACGCATCTCTGGCGTGTGAGAGCCACCGATGTTCTGTGCTGGTAATTTTCTTTCTAATCAGTAGCTTGTGGAAAGCCAGCTGTCTGTGACGGCTGTGCGAGTGAAGATGACACAACTCCAGCTCCTCGCTAACTCCTCCTATCGTCTGCCTCCGCTTCACGCTACGGAGCAAATGCATGCAGCCAAAGACAAAACCCACACAATGCACTAGAATCTCCCTTTCACAATTATAATCCGGTAAACAGGTTTTAGGGCGTCGTTAATCTACTGTTTTTAGGTCCTTTGTAGCTCCACCTGAGCTGCTGTTAGACGTATGAAATGGTTCAGCATTAAAAACACCAGAATAGGGAGGAACTCTGTTCAGAGTTGTCTGAATACTTCCTGTTCTGCGCCCTTTAAGAAGATAACAAGCTAGATTTAGTCAATGATTAAATTTTAGATCGGCTTAACAATGCACCTACAACTAAACACACCTGCGTGTTTTACTATGTTTGTCTCTATTAGACCCGTTAATGAAAGTGGAGCTTTAGAGATGAAGCTTCTTCTGCAGCAGAAAGATTCTCTGGAGGAGGTTTCCGGAGTTTTGCTGTTGATTCAGCTCAAGCTTGTCTTCTGAGATCTCATTATCAGGCGCTGCTTCTTTACCTCAATGCAGCTCAAGGGCTTTCTATAAATAAAAATCAATTTTTCTATCTTATTTCATTGACGATTTCTGGTTGCAGCTTATCAGTTGGGCTACGACTTCCAAACTCTGTTGGATGTTCAGTGATTTTACACCTCTCGTTTGAAGGGTTCATTTACTTTTTTAAAGTCACTCACGGGCAGGTTTTAGTAATTTAGGGATTTTCAATCATTATTATTAAAAGAGAAACATGAAACTAATGCATATTTTAAATGGGACATATACAAAACTCACCTTTTGCGTGCTTTTGTTTTGCACTGTGGGTCTTTGCAAGCCTGGCCTTCCAGACTCGCCCTTTGTCTGTTCTACACAGAGGAAGAGTCGCGATACTCGAGGTAGAGAGCACCATGAGGGGTGGGACTAGCCAGCTCAAAAATACCCTATTAGAAAAAGGTGGAAATGACGACTTTATCACGTGATGCTGTAATTTTTTAGCTGAAGTCAAAGAGGGCGTCTGGCGACGGCACAAACATCTTTCTTTAGAAGAAAGGTTTTTGGTGCTTCTTGTTGTGGTTTTAAAGTCGTGTCCAAGTAATTTAGAACAGAGAAAAGAGCCGCAGCTAACTCTACTTTAGATGCCACCTTTGCTGTTAATGAGAAACTCAGCGCTGCGGTGTGAGACGCACGCTACTCAGCGCTGATTAGAATTCTCAGGGGGTGGGGTTATTTGAATGGAGCGTTACCAGGCCCTTTGATTCCCATAAAGAAGCATTGGCATGGCTGGCCAGGCTAGGTCTCTACTACCTCTATAAAAACTCATCAATCCGTTTCCTGTCATTGACTGAAATTAATCATTTCAAAAAGATCTTGTTTGTGACATCACCAAAAAAGGAAATTAGAAAAGTACTACTTCTCTTGTTCATTCAGAGGCCCTCCTAGATAACTAAGCGCCTCATCTCATAGCCCCCATTCATGGGGTGGGTGGGCGTGGCCAGCTCCAGCTTGTTTTCTTAAGAGTCAGAGCCCTGAAATGGCTCATTCTGGAAGGTACTGAAAATCTCAAAAATAATACTGCTGAAATCTTTAATGCAAGAGAGATTTAGTGTAAAGAACTTCATAAACATGTTTTGTATTGACCATAGAACTTATATATATATATATATATATATATATATATATATATATATATATATATATATATATATATATATATATATATAAAACTTTGTCTTTTTCCGGGGTATTTCTCTTATCCGATGGCACCATCTAGTGGCTGACAAGCATATCACACAAATCGTTTCTTCTTCTGTATTTTTTTTCAAGCTGGCAACTTCACATTTCTTGTTTATTTATGTCCTTCTGCAGCTGACAAACGGAGCTAAAATGCGTTGTTTTAAAAGTAGTATTCTCATGAGGCGACGGTGGCACAGGGGTTAAGTGCTTGCCCTGTAATGAGAAGGTTGCAGGTTCGAGCCCCTCTCAGTTTGTCATTGTCATTGTGTCCTTGGGCAAGACACTTAATCCGTCTTGCCTGCTGGACCGGTGGCACCAGTGCTCGGCAGCCTCGCTTCTGTCAGTGCGCCCCAGGCCAGCTGTGGCCACATCGTGTGAATGGGTGAATGACTGATTGTGTTGTAAAGCACCTTGTGGGGTTCCAGGACTCTAGAAGGCACAGTATCAAATACAGGCCATTTACCATTATTTATTTATAATTAAATCATGTTGTATTCTCATATATTTATATTTTAGACTTTCTTGTTAGTGAAAAGTTCATCAACTCTCCATCAGCTGAGGTATTTCTTAAACATGAAACATGTAAGCGGTGGTCTAACACTAGTGGTTAGTTCTGGCTGGCACTTAGTTTCCTATTTCACGGAGCTCTGCGGGGCAGGGGCCGTGTTCAGCAAAAAAAAAAAAGACGTATTGCTTACATTATATCACATTACATGATGGGACAATCACTTTTACGGATTTCTGAAAAATCATGCATCATTTCTGAAAGAGGAAAACTCCGGAAAGCTACTTTAAGAAAAAAACATAATATGTCTCCTTTAACACAGAACAAGCAGTCAGACTGTATGAGTCACTCTAGCATGGGCACTCATCTGCCTGCTTTTGTAACTTTATTCTACATTTGCAAACTATGTCAATTTTTATTTGATTTGATGATAAAAAGGATAAAAACTCCCAGTTAGTCAAAAATAACATTAAATACATGATTTTCACTTATTTTCCCAAAAGATCAGCGAGAAGAAGCTGAAGAAGTTTGAGAAGGAATACCACACCATAAGAGAGCAGCAGGAGCAACAGGAAGCCCCCATTGAAAGATACGAGGTAGTCTCACACACACACACACGCACGCACACACACGCACATTGGCAATTTCTTGGATTTCTGGTGGCTCATCAAGTCCTCTGCTACTCACATCAAACATTTGGGCAGCTGCACAGATTAAAGTTTAACTGATCTGTTTGTCACCACGTGGGAGTTGTTAGAAAACCTGCTGCTGCTGTAAATGATGCACAGATTATATCCTGTTAACCATTACACGCTGCTCTAACACCTACCATCTTCTATTCTTACACTACTTCAGACTTTTCCGCTCTTTATGAATCACTCGTTTCCCTCTTCTGCTGGGTTTTCACTTTCCTTCACCTTTTTTATGACTCAGCACTTCTCTGTTCTCCCATTTCACTTTTTCTTTCTTTCTTTCCTTCACCACTCTTTTACCCTCCTTTGTCTCCTCACTTTTTTGATTATCTTTCTTTTCCATCCAGCGTGAGAATCGTCGATTGCAAGAGGCTAACATGCGTCTGGAGCAGGAGAACGACGATCTGGCTCATGAACTAGTTTGCAGCAAGATAGCTCTGCGCAAAGACCTCGACAACGTAAGCATACTCCCCAATCGTACATCCGAGTGTGGATTTCCTTGTTGATTGGAATCTGATTGGTTACTATAGCAAGAACATTGACCTGGATAACATTTGGTGATAGTTGAGCTACAACTGATTTCATATGAGACAGAATGGCAGGAAAAGTTTGTGTTTTGGTTGTAAAGCTGCATACAGGCTTGATTACTTTAACCTTTGTTTGTACTGAAGCCACGTGATGCACATTTGTGTGCAGGAGTTCTATTTTCTTCTGACCTACCTTGAATCTTATTTTATAAAGTAGGACGAGCTTAACTCTGTGACTTTTTCAGCATTAGAGTCCTTTGTTTGTGTGTGTGTGTGTGTGTGTGTGTGTGTGTGTGTGTGTGTGTGTGTGTGTGTGTGTCAGGCGGAGGAAAAGGCAGATGCCCTGAATAAAGAGCTGCTGCTGACTAAACAGAAGCTGGTTGAATCTGAAGATGAGAAGAGACGACTGGAGGAAGAGTCTGCTCAGGTTCGAGGCACTTTAATAAGTCCAACAGTGACCGGCACTCTGATGTTGCAAGTGCAGCATTCTGGCCACAGAGGGCAGTGGGGGTCTGAGTGACATTTCATTAGCTCTGTAAAGGGTCATTTGGGCACATACTGGCTGAAGAAAATGATTTAAAAATAAGAAAATGTTTCAAAGTAAGGCTTTAAAGCCTGTTTAGGAGAAACCTTTACAGTAATCAGGCCCGTGATTACACTCATTTCTTTAGTTTGTTAAGAAGAAATGGAATTTTAAAGTGGGTTTAGGAATGAATTCTTCAGGCTTTGTAAAGGTCTGTCAAAGGTTTTCTGTAGAGTTTGGTTGCATTTTTTACTGATTTATGAATCACTGAAACATAAAAAAAGTTCCTGATATCAGGATGTAAACCAGTCATGTGTCAACACACACCCTAAACAGACCCCACTGCAGAACGGTGATGATGATGATGATGATGATGATGATGATGTGTTTGTCTGATATCTGTTGCAATGGTTTCTTTTCCAAAAGGCAGGTCTTTCAACAGTTCATGTGATGCAGATAGTTTATTTTAGGTCCTAATCCCCCCCCCCCCCCCTAAGTGATGCAAATTGTTTTAAAAGGGTCTAATAATTCTATGGTTGATTTAAAAACATGTTTATGAAGTTCTTTACACTAAATCCCATTTACATGAAGAGATTTCAGCTGCTTTATTCTTGGCATTTTGCATACATTCCAGAATGAGTTGTTTCAGGGCTCTGTCACTGTAAAAAAACAAGCTGGAGCTGGCCTCGCCCACCTGCCCCCTCACTCAGACTGCTATAGGCTGAGAAACTCTGACGTCTGGGTGGGGCTCAGAGTAGAGCTGCTGCTCCTCCAGCCTGGAGAGGTGACGAGGGGTTCTGGAGTTGTTGGAAACAGCTTTTTTAGCCACATAGTTCCTAAAACCACACATTGACAGAAAAAAGATGTGTTTTTTATGTTTGAAGTGTTTATAGAGGCAGTAGAGACCCACATGGCAGCACATAGAAGACATGTCCCCGTAAAGCATTTACCGCACATGATCAGAAACCAGGAGCCGACATAAAAGTAGCGGGAAAATGCAGCGAAAGGCTGAAGAAAAACTTTGCAGGACTTTTCGAAAGCCTGAAGGATGATTTATCAACTTTGAATCATTACGAGAAGGTTTGGCTGTTTGGAAACAGTTTAAAAGCTACAGTTCAAATAAAGTAAATCATAATTATAATTTATGGATTCATCAGAGGCTCCAAGATGCAGATTGTACTCAAACAACAACAGATTTTTTGATCCCAGTAACACATGTTTGCATTGATCAGGCTGTGCTGCTTGTGTTTTCCTTAGTGAGACGCTGATTCCTCAAAGAGCTGATCTTCATTCCCACTGACGTACTTTCACTTTTAAACAAGATCAAGCTTTTGAATGTAATGTTATTTTTTATCATTTAATTAAGAAGAAAAATGGTCTTTTTAAAAAACTGGTTTGATTGCAGGATAAACTCCAGAAACTTTCCCAACTTTTTATAAGTGTTTCATCTGAAACCTTCAGTATTAGAAGTTTTTGGGTTTGCGGGAGCAGCAGCAGACACACCTGAAACCCTGTGTGTGTTTAAAACCATCCTCTCAAAGCCTCGCGTCCCTCTGTGAGTGTGGGCGCACCTCTGACTCCTTTAAAAAGCAGCTGAAGACTCACCTGTTCAGGCTGGTTTTGGTGTGACCTTCATCACCCTCTCCTTGTTCTGCTCTCCCTACCTATTCCACCTTCCTCAGGATCCACTGATTTCCCTCTTTCCTATTCACTCTCTCTCTTTCTTTACATTTTTTAAATCACAATTGTTTATTTTTTGCTCATTTAAATATATTTTTAATCATTTTCTAAATTCTTTTTTATATTTTCACATTTTTTGTTTTTGTGAAGCGCCTCGTGATTTTTATCTTGAGAGGCGCTGTAGAAATGATCTTTTCTTCTTCTTCTGAGTGATTTATGTGGAGTAGAGGTTGTGTTGAGTGCAGGACAACGCTACAACACTTGTCTTTGTCATTGTTACGTGTCATGGCGGTCACATGGTCTCTAAGGATGCTCGTTTCTGCTGCCTAACAACCAAACTGCATCTATGTGTTCTTGCAGCTTAAGGAAATGTGCCGACGGGAACTCGATAAGTCCGAATCAGAGATAAAGAAGAACGGTTCCATCATTGGGGAATATAAACAGGTATGTGCTGAGAGATTAAACATTATGAATATCACTTACAGCTTCTAAAATATGTCACTCTTCTGGTGTTTTGTCCATAACAAGCTTTAAAAACAGCTGACCTGATTAGATGTAATGTTCCACCGTGGCCTCGGGGGGCGCTGTTGCTGTGGTTAGCAGCTAGATGTTCTCACCAGCTCCATCCTGCAGACTCGTCACTAATAATTAGCTTCTAAAAATGTCTGATGAAGGCTTTCTGATTTTCACCGTAACTTAATGTTTATACTGAAGGTTCAGGTTCACATCAG